CACAACAATCGGAAGAGGAAATGTCCGGGTTTCGGCTTGTCTTTCAGACATCATTTCTTTCGTAACATGTGTCTTTGCGATTCTTGGGAATTTTCCAGACCGATATCCAATTTGAAGGCACTCGTACTCTGTCGCTGAGATGGTGGAACGAGGCCATTATTTTCAAGTCAGCCATGATCCGACACGTCCGGCATTCTACTTTTGCAATCATGATGGTTGTAACTGCTCAGATGCCGTCTGATGTATGAATACATTCAGTTGGTTTCGGAAACCTTTTAACATCTATTTTCTTCTTGATTCTGTCACTTTCCCATAATTATTTGCTACCATTCTCCTAGCACAACCCTCAAAATCAGAAACCGAACTTTTCATAAGGGAAACTACTCACAAGGTTGCTGAAAAATTCCTCGAAAGCCCACGACCGGTTTCGCCTATCTTGGGGCTCATCAGGTGGACGCAGTCCCCGAGTTTCCGTCTAGCTCATGATCTACTTGAACCCAAATTGGACTCAGGGACTGTGCCTACATGATGAGCCCCGCGGAGGGCGAAACGGGTCGTCGGCTGTCTTTGAGTTTTCAGCAACCTTGTGAGTAGTTACCTTTATGAGAATATACTGCGATATCTCGAATATCGTGCCAACTGAAACATGAGGCGGCCCGTGTGCAGCACATTCAGTTGTAGAACATCATAAACGAGAGATTCGGTTGGATCTGTCGTGAAAAGCAAGTTGATTTGCAAAGGAGTGTATTTCTCGATAAACCAAACTTCTTTACGTTTTTGCTAATCAAATTTGACTAAAATACGCATCGATTGATTCGTCTTGTTCTCGTTTACTCCACAGTATGCAACTTTTTGGCTCACGAGAAATGCATGCGATTGGTGGTCTCGGCCTGCACCTGCATTGTACCTTTCCTGATCCGCGTAAGTTCTTTCTGCTGTTCCCACCTTCATTTCAAATCAGAACAAAAACACAACGATTGATCTCATGTTTGTATATCTATTTACAAGACTTTGAGAGCACGATTGTTGATCGATGAGACTAATCCCAAGGTGATCTAGGGGTCATGTGATCGAGCGCCTGGGCTGCCTCGCACGTGACGCGCATAGCGTGTGTTAGGAGGGCAACTAAATGGGCGGTTGGAAAAACGGCTGGAGATCATTTATCCGGTCTTACAAGAATAGATCAATGAAACCTCAGAGTATACTAACTTCCAAGGTGACTTGGTTCCTGAACTCCCTTTGATCGACCGCGATTAAAACTAGCTATGTCGTGCAAACTGGGTGAACCCAACTTAAGTTCTCTCTTCATTACTCGTTTAACGTTACATCTTTCTCGGGTTTCAGTGACCCCTAATCACAAAAACATGTCTGAAAATCGATACAGTTGTTGATTAAATCCTAATTGGAATATGGTTGTCTACATGTCGAATTAGGCCGGAGTCCGCGGAAACCCATGCGACCTCTGTGCACATGCTCCGAGTTTCAGCCTGTCCAGACAGTTGAGTATCCTTAAACCAGTGGATACAACCGAAAATTCAGATATACGGATCATAATAGGGGGCTCTAGACCGAGCACTGATTGAAGTTACATGAACACTGAGGGTAGATGTGAAACCCCATAGGTTATGGCTCCTATATGTAAGCCTCCGCGATCACCAGCTTACTCTCTGCCCAAGCAGAAAAAAGGCAAGTACCAAGATCTTTGAAGTGTACGTATATCGCTTCATGAATCGCTCCGCTGAACTAGGACACCTTGAGCACACCCGCAGGATAACACTATTTTCAAGAGGCGGATCAGTGGTGTGATTAACTCGCAGTTAGGACTAGTTTCGGTTGCACTACAATTGAAAATCGCCAAATCTCATCATACTACCAACAATTTGTAAGTAGCTCAGATTAGAAACAATTCACAAGATGATTGAATCTTCCGTCTGAGAAGCGGTCACTCGAGTAGGCAGTCGATAGGTGACCACGTGATGTGGTTTCTGTGATCGGAGGATGAGCGGCACTGTATCTTGTCCAGGTTTAGCCAATCACATTGCTGACCTGGTGCTCGTCGCCGAACGGTTATGTTACGGGTTCGAAATAGGTGTGTTTCAGAGCAGTCGATTACCTAAGGTTGGTAAGTACTGGAATCGATGGATGGTTGCTCAACACTTGCGCCGTTTCGCCAACTCTGACCAGATTGTTCCTCAGTATAGCCCATAAAATTCTGAGGTGCTGTGTTAAACTGGCGAGCTGTTGACCAGAGGGTCCTAGCTAGCAAAATGCACTGACAGGTGGCCATCGGTTTGCCCTGGGCAAACAGCGTTGCAGAGTGGACCAACAACGAAGGCGGCGTGAAATCGGCAGGTTGACGGATGTTTCAGTAACAGCTGTCTTGTCCGGTGCATAGCCAAAGGCTCTCCGTGCTCTGGTTGGTTCACCAAGGAGCAGAGGAATGTGAACTTCAGGTCCGAAAAAAAGTGCGTGGTGGCTGAATTCTCCTCGACATTTGACGACCCGTCTTGTCCTTCTTGATACTTATCCGAAGTTTGCGACTTTCCGTCAACTTTATATTCTCCTCGAGACAGCTGTTCAGAAGCACATTCAGATAAGAAGTGTCACAAAGAGGAATGCAGTTGAGATTCGGCTGGTTCTGTCGTTAAAGCCAAATGAGTGTTCTTAAACAAAATTAGGGGAACTCTGAATGTGGCCTACCTGGTGAGCCCCAAGTAAGACGAAACCGGCAGTTTTATTGACTTTTTGGGTGGTTTTATCTAAACCTGCTGTATTTTGTTATCAAACAAGACATGTGAATAGTACTCACCAGAATAAACACGGATGTGCTGTGGCACACGAATGAACGAGTGATCGATTGGCTGTCCTGTCCAAGGACAACTTCCCGACGCCTTCTGCACGTGACCAACACAACTTATTCTTGGGTTGGAACCCTGTGAACAAATGGCAACTCAGTTGCCTTCACAGATGCAAAGATAACACAACACATCACATCAGTTCCCACCTAACGTACTCCTGAGCTCTACTCCGACGGTTATGTGCACTTTGTAGCAGAGCTGTCGTCCTAATCTGTGCAAACTGCGTCGCTGAACAATGGCTAGGCACAGAACAGCAGTGTGAATTGTCAGACGGCCTTGTGCTATTCAGGGTGTGGAGGATACCAGTGAACAGAGACTGGTAGTTGTACTATTCTGTGACAAAGGGTGCAACGTTGGCCTTTGTCCTCCTGGACAAAATAGCCTACCACGAGCTTCATTCTACCACTGACCCATCGCTACGCCCCCTAACAAAACATTGATGATGCCATCTCAAATGGTGCCCAGCTCAGCGAACAAGCCAAGGACCTTAGGTGAAACAAGATAAATGATACCGTTGAACGTGGAAATACGAAATCAATGCGAAATATCTATTCATTGTTCTAAGAAATTTCTCATAAAACAAGCTAGTTTCTGCAAGTTTCTTTTGAGCGTGAGGAAATATGACAATCGCATTAGGTGAGCCGAAATCTACTTGACGGAAACTTGAAACTTGGTATCAAGCGCCAACGGGCAGTTGAGGACCAGATTTTTTTTATACTGTATACATACAGCCGTCTGTCAGAACGAAACATCGGCCCGGTCGGTGTCTTCACCCAAAGCTGCCGCGTGGATGTCTCGGCGTGAGTACGAGATCACGTTGCAGACCGAACTTGATCAAAAGCTCGGTGTGTCTACGGTGAAACTGCTCCGCCTAGCAACCTACGACGCTGTTTCTTTCCTGTCTCCTCCCTTCGGATGACCGAGTGGATAAGACAGTGGACCACCACGGTCCACGACGCCATTTCAAAACCCATCGGCTACCGATTTCGTTTCACTAGTCTATACCAATGCTGTTTCAGAAATGAAGACATAAAGAGCAACGAGAAATCAATAACCGTTACTTGATCCCCTAAAATACCAGGCTCAGGGCGGATCTGTTGTCCGGAATAGATAAAAGTGGCAAGCTCTTCAGCACAGATTGGCTTCACTTACAGGACGAACTCTCCACTGGAAATTATTAAGCCTTCTTATACTACCAACAAGTTGTAAGTAGCTCAGATTGGAAACAATTCCACAAGAAGATTGAATCTTCCGTCTGAGAAGCGGTCACTCGAGTAAGCAGTCGATAGGTGACCACGTGATGTGGTTTGTGTGACTGAAGGATGGGTGACGCTATATCCTTTCTGGGTACGAGTTAAATATACTGTTGAACGTGGCCAAATGGCTTAGTTCTTGGTGTCGTTTGGAAAAGACAGGGGGCAGGCTCTTACTCGTTCATCCCACGTACGAAAAGAACGTTTAGCGAACCAATATCTGGCTACTTATATGTTGTTGGACTTCCATGAAGACCCTACTGATATGATTGTCAAATTTAAACGTGACCCGTTGACGAGAGGTTTTTCTTAGCAATTCCGAGACTATGGCGAACTCTCATTTCCCTTCGCATCGGNCGACAAGACTGTCCAACCTGTCTGTTTGTTCAGATTCGTTGTGGACGACATCCACAAACAGTTGTCACAGGAGAACTTATCGGTGACTTAAATCTGGGATTACATTGGCCAGCATCAACATCCCCGCTCACCAACATTGGAACCACGGTCGTAGCTTCAGAGAAAACGGCATAGTTTTTTTAGCTGCTTTCTCAATACAGAAATCAGGTGGTCACGCTGTTTGGACCCAAGCATTGTGTGACGATGACCAACCGTATGTACAACGCACCGGTGCGAGAGATTCTGCTAAGTGGTTGCCGAACGCGAAAATCCCGTGTGAAAGAGTTGACTGAGCGGCCACTTTTAGTCACTAGCGCAGTCTGTAAGAGCCCTCAGGACTGATGGAAACAGTGGATCGATCCTTGTTGGGGTGTTTGCAAATGGATGGATTTCTCCTTATCTTAGTGCCATCTGCAAACGGATTAATTTCTCATGGTCTCAGTGCCGACTGCGCTGGCTGACCCATGAATGCAGCCATCGACTGGCCCATCAAGGTGAAAGAGGGACACGAAAAGCCGGCGCAGGCGCATAAAAGCAACCGATGCCCAGTCAACTCTGGTTGTTTCATCTGGACTTCCTGGAATAATACCTGGTGATGATCTGACTAGGGCAAACTGGGCTTTTTCTTACAATTTTTAATTCATTTATTGTAGGACACTTTCGTGGTCACGGAATGGCCCCTTGAACTGGTTCGTAATCTGTTGGAACGATAGCTGTATGCGCATCTGAACTGATGCAGATGATGTTGGTAGAATTCGATTACAAACCCACCTCGCACAGTCACATTGTCATTGTCCTCAGGACCTTGAAAATTAAGTGCGCTCCACATGTCCAATGCACATGACTTCTCTTAGTCGCGTAGCCACACAAATCCATTCGTACAGCGCGCGCTCTTAATTCCATCTACACGTGCACGGACACACCCTCACACAGACACACGCATGCACACACACATGCATGCACACACACACGCATACACGCAAAACACACGCACGCACGTACGCAAACACGCAAACACGGACGCAAACACGCACGCACGCACGCACACAGACACGCACGACGCACACAGACACGCACACGCGCACACGTACGCTAACACACCGAGTCTGTCACTGGCTTCCGAACTCAAGACACAATCGATCGTAGTTCAAATACTCATTTCCCATCTGGTGTACGGACGCGATGCTGCACCAATCGCGTGCAATGAGTCGTGCTGTAGCACACCAGACTTCGCTGCACCAATCGCGTGCAATGAGTCGTGCACACCAGACTTTTGAGAGAGCCGAAGTTCGGTAACCAGATATGCAGGGAAGTGTTAAACAAGACAGCAGCCGTTGTTTACTGGACTGAATTTGATCAGTTCGCCATCAATTTCCCGCGGTATTTTTTTATGTCGTCCACGGGACTGGTAGATTTATCTCAAGTTCACCACAGATTGAATGCCGCAACTAACGCAGAACTTATGGGGCAACCCGTGAGACAGGGGCTTAGCCACACAAAACACTGATGTGCTTTGGTCTCTTGACAAAACACTGTAGGAATGAAACCCTTCGCATAAAAAGCATCCTCTACAATATTAATAATACTAAGCAAAGACAAAAACAACAAGATTGCGAATTTATTGGCCAGAAGGTCCCTAGTTTGAACCCGACTTCTGCCGCTCGACTTCCCCTGTCTAGACCAGGGCAACCTGACAGCATCCCAGCCCTCGTGCTCCATTCTGATGACATAGCAGTTGGGCACCAAGAGGATGCTACAGCTGGACGGCTTACCGTACCACGAGAATGAGCATTCACTCGATTATGTTATTGGAACATTGAGAACCCACGTTCATATCCGTCTCATATGAATAATCCTCATCGTGATGTAGCGCAACTGTTCTGGTGATCCCCCATCATAGTGGAGGGACTCGAGTTTCGCTTTTATTAGAGCTCATGAGTCGGCACATATCCTTGGTTATGCCGAGTTTCGAACTTCGGACATCTTACATCCGAAACGAGTGTGTAAGCCAACGCATATTGGACGCGCTCACGCTTGAGTGATGTGATTGCTTTGTCCGACGCCTGGTAGAGTAGTGCTAAGAAGCTCGCCTCTCATGTCAGATATCCGGAGTTCAGATCCCTGCTGATGAGCTCTAAAAACAGCAAAACTGGACTCCGGCGCTTCTCCCCATTGATGTGGGATACTTGCACCAGGAAACGAGAACGATTGTTTAGACGAGAGTTCACAGCCACTTGCTTTGTCATAAGAGCTCCTAAATGATGACACCTGTATGATTAATCCTTCCGTTCTCACATGTACTTCATGTTTTTTTTCTTCAACTTTCGAGCACACCACTCCGATTCCTTCAAATTCGTAAGGACAACTTTCTGTGTGATTTAGCTTATTCCGTTGCCAATCCACGGTTGGTTTGAGCACAGCGAGGGGGAGAAACTGATCACAACGCTGCTCAACCATTAATGGCCAGCTCAGCTGTTGAGCGCACGCTCGAATTCAGCTATGGGTTAGAGAGGCACGTATTGCCGATGAGTCTCAACAAGAATGAAATGGCTGTCGCGCACCTTTGGGCTTTTCTGGATTGCCAGGCTATCGACTTCTTTCGAGCAGACGTTATGAATGCCCTATTTCATTACAATTGTTTCTGAAAATCTTCTAGAGACAAGCGAAATACACGCGTTTGCATACCAATTTGGTTTTGACGGGATACTAACTTGGAACCCAGTTGAATATCTCGTTTATGATGTTCTTAAGCGACTGGCATTTCGTACCAATCGGAGGTGGCCTGTGCCGCACATTCAGCTGGAGAAGAGTGTCTTGAAGGAAAGATTCAGCTGAGTTCAATGCGAGTTTCCCGTCAAAACCAAATTGATATGTAAATAAATGTTTTTGTCGAAATCTGCCCAACTTTGAGGGCACAAGTAGAACACACGGTTGTCGGAAACTCGGGGACTGCGGCTACCTGATGAGCCCCAAGAAGGGCGAAACCGGAGAGTTTTCAGTGACGTTATGAGTAGTGCACTGCACTCTCATTCTGGGACTTCCAGGGAGGTGGACAGCTGGAACTAAATCATCATCACCATCATCGACAGCATAACATCGGTGTTCAACACCGATGCTTCACTGCCGTACAACCATGATTTTTTTGAAAGCTTTATTGTACAGAAAAGAGTAAAGGTGGACAGGAATGGACTTAGTGCTAGCTTACCACAATCATTCCGAGGTGCCTACACCTCCAAACATTCACTCAGGCGATCTGGATAGAAACTGACGACAAGAACGCCACTGACGTCGGTTGGCAGTCATATCTTGCAGCGTCTCCAACCAGGCACAGTGAGGATCACGCGTTCCCCACACTGGAAAGCGAATAGCACGACAGCACCCAAAGGTTTCGTGATTTCTTTCGTACCCTTGTGCCAAGCCAAGGGTTGACCACCTCTCTGCTTCCGCCACTCTATGGTGGGCATGGAAAACAGCACTTTCTTCGGCAAACGATTGTTCGGCATACGTAACACATGTCACAACCAAGGCAGCATCTGATGTTGGCACATTCTTCAATGGAAGTACCCGTTGCACAACTGAAAACGCGCATTGTAACTGCCTCGTTACGGATTCGCCAACACCAACCCACACGAGCTATGGTTCTGAGACAACGATTGTCGAACACCTGAAGACGTCTCATTTCCGCTGCTCGAACAGGCCAGGTCTCACAGCCATACAGCAAAAAGAACCCACACTTTAGCTTGATACACACGTCCCTCGAGATTCAGGGATAAACCACTCTGACGCCATAGGTGTCTCAAATTAGCAAACGCGGCCCGAGCCTTGCAGATTCGTGCTGTCATATGAAGAGGTTGTGTACGGTTTTTGTAGAGATTTTGTGTCAGGGCACTGCAGTTAGCGTAGTTCACTCGTCAGCTTACGGACTGAAAGGTTCGTGATTCGAACCGAACCTCAGCATCTCGACTGCTCCTGTCTATAGGTGGACAGTGTGGCAGTATGCCAGCCCTGGTTCCTCCTTTCGTTAGTACTGCAGCTAGGCACCGAAAGGGGCTACAAGTGAACGGCTTTTTCTTTCTTTCCGAGAACTCGACACGGATTCGAATGCTTCTTGAGTAAGAATCATGGAGCTAGTGAAGCTCAGTGGGAAAACAAAAAGTACTTATCGTTTGGACTCCTGGGGCGGTCGAAAATGACGAGTAGGTTAACTGAGACACCCGCATATGATCAAGTCCATCCCGATATAACGATCGATAGACCGGTTTCTGATGGAGATCGGTGACGGCAACAAGGCCTTGAAAATAAAATGCCGGGATGGCGTGGGCGTCCAATGATACCGGCTGCAAAAACTGTTGGAACAACTCCACTTCCGTTAGGATATTCCGATAGCCGTTGATAATTGCTACCTCAGCTAGTGGTTACCCTAGCTTTATTTTTCGCTTGCTGCTCGCATCTAAGAGCCGATGTGCTGTTCTCGAACTACCTAATCAAATTTGGCAAGTCTAGGAGGCTGATTTGTTTCGAACGTTTATTTTTGTGCGCACGCCAGGATGGGCGGAAAATCAGGCGACAAGAAAAGTCACCCGACCGCCAACCACTGACCTTGTAATTCTCAAGGTCTCACGTGGGTTGCAAAACGTTTGTAGATTGAAAAATAATGGACCAAGTTTAGACGTTACCCGCTACTCATAAGGCTGCTGAGAACGCTTGGGATTTACAAGTAGTGTGTTACGCCCGGACAATCTAATTCGACGTTTCGAATATCGACCCGCTTTTTTGTAGCTTGTAGCGTGAAGATGCTATTGTGGTCGGCTTGAAAGTAGTTGCTCTCGTTCCCTAGCAAACCTTATGGCAATAGTGGTTCGCCTTAGAAAATAGCTTGTACTTCAGACTGAAGTGAAGGTGAGACTGTAGCGTGTGCAATCTCCCGTTGTAAGCCCTACTCACTATCAGTAGCATAGGCACCACTCCTTCACACGCACACTGTCGTCGACCAAGTGTTTGGAGCTGTTTCATTTTCACGGGTCGGCCATCTTTCGATCGTTCTCAGGGAAATTTGCTTCAACTTTCGATGTTGACGTATCGCCATGAGCAGTGTTCACACGTTATAGATGTCTGTCATTCGCAGACGCCAGTGACTGCGTTCTTTCGGAGATGGAATGCACGGTGTGAGCGATTGGACTTTTTACCGAGGACTACACCTATTCGTTCAATTCTGCTTACCCCAAAGTCGTTCCCAATTTCCAGATTTCCGATTACGTTCTTCCGGCTCCAGCTTGGACAGAAAAGGTGGTGATGACATCACGTGACTCCACTAAGAACTCACTGGTTTATCGCAACGCTAGGGGTACAAGCTGAGTACCGGTTTATGAACGAGTTACTACTCAGTGGAGTTGACAGATATGTTGTCACTTCGTAGAGTCCGACGCTGTTTCCTCTTTTAGACCTTTTTAGTTCAAGTAGAACATAATGTTGACGAAAACTCGTGGACTGATGAGATAGGCGGATAAAAATTCCTAACTTTTCCCACCTGGTGAAGACCGAAAACCTTGGGCAAAGTTTTCCTTATTTTCCCGCGGTATCGATTTTCCCGTGTTTGAAATCTAAATATGCAAGCCCGCTTTGAATTTCCGCCTAATTGACAATTTCGGTTAGACATTTGATGGCATATTGGAAAAGTCGACTAACTTTTTCACCCCACACCCGTTATGCTAGTCCAAATCCACTCACTGTGGAAACAATAACCATTAACCGTGCTTTAAAAGGTCACATGAACCGAGGGGACCTCGCGATTATAAACGGGACCAGTCAAGTGGACGCAATTGTACATATGGCACTCATTTGACTCGAGACTGTCGTGCTTTGAAGCAATAAACGGATTTGTGTAATGGACTTCCATTTCAGTAGTATAACTACCACTCACATTTCCTCCCGACATTCTCCTTCCCCCCTACACAGGATCCTGTACCCCACTGCTGGTCCGAGATCGGTCATTTCAAACGAAAGTTTTGCAACGTTTGTCGCAAGCGGGTGGATGACCTCCTGGCCCTACGGTGTGAAAGTGAGTTATTCTGACTTCATGCAGTCGAACCATCGTTGAAAAAAACCTTTCGAGGTGACATGGTCAAGGAAGTTCATTTCGAAATGTCGGATGTACCATGAGGCAATGAGGCTGGGTAGACAAGTGCGGTCTGTTTAAACAACCAAGTTTCAGAGCCGTAAAGGCTGATGACTAAGCAACAACGCGACTGACTGATTCAACTGCGACGTTACTGACCGAGAGGTCCATGGTTCGAACCCGACCCCAGAATCTCAACTACTTTTGTCTACGTAAGGGACTTTCCTCATCGGCCAACCGCAAACAAATCTCTGCACATGAGCTCATCGAATTGTTTTGAGCTGTTCGGAAACACCAGTTGGGTTGTTCGAACCAGATAGTTCAGCTTCGCTTGACCACCGATCATTTCACAATGGGCTTTCACCCTTCTGGGGAACAACAAGTCCCGAAGTTGATTCCAAAATGACATTACGTTTAAGTCCTGCATCAAATACATGATTACATCACTTGGGGTGATATCTCGAGATTGATATGAGTTGTGAGTTTACTGATCCGAAGGTCCGTGTTTCGAGCCCAACCTCGACATCTCGACTTCCCTTGTCTGGACTTGGATAACCTGGAAATAGCTCTTCCCTTGTGCTTCCTGCAGGAAGCGTGACACCTAGGTCCCAAAGGAGTATAACAGCTGAATGATCACTCATTTTATAAAGATAGTTTCTCAATTTTGTACACTATCGTCATGTCAAAAAGCAATGTAACCAAGGCAACAAACCCTGCCATTTGGCCGTGAAAAGTTCTCACTCTAGTTGCAGTTTCGGAGGCCTCCATAGGGGCATTTAAAAACTTAGATGTGGAAACCGGGGTGGAATAACAACCTAGACTATTGGGATATCATGAGTTCACTTCTGTGCTGGTCATCTTTACCAGGAGCTGTTAGTTTTGGCTTTGAACAGAATTGTGTATCCACTTAAAAATAGACGAACGTACGTCATTGGTGCAATTTCCACCGTCCTCTAAGCTCTCTACGCGAGACCAATGTGGCCCGCCAACATTGTCCGACAAACGCCCACTCACGAAGTCACGAGCGTCCAGCTATAATCGATCGATGAGCTGTTTGGCAGCTTATCGCTTGCCAACTACTGAATGACAGAAGTGGATGCCGTGAGCAGGAGATGAAGGTTACGTAACACACTTCCTCTGCGACGACTCTCTGCTCGACAAAGTTCCCACTAACACGATCGTTTTGATCAAGCTCCAAGGGAGAATTCTCCACCGGTAGGAACTTCCACATTTGAAGTATCTACACGGCTCAAATAAAAAAATTCGTTTGAGTGCTCTGTTAATTGACAAGCAAGTGCAGAACTGCGCCTATGTACTCAGAACGTAAAAGGTTGTGTAGACAAGACGCAAACAGAGTGTGCGCACAGAGTTTACCGTGATTGTGGCCTCGCCGGCCCCGTGGTGCCTAAAACGATCATCTGGATGCATTCACAATCTGAATGTGAATCACCTTGGCACATGTTCTCGGAATTCAAAGACTTCACGACAACAAGGAGAGAAAAGCCTTCATGGGCCGAAGCTTGATGAGCGAAGCAGAACAAATCATGCGGTAGGGTACTTGCCTCTCCCTCCCCCGTGTTTCGATCACAACCAGATGGTCGTATCAGCAAACGAACCATCTTCAAACGAGCGTTACTTTTCAAACAACTTTCGCTCCAGACAATACTTCTAAGATGAGCCTTCATCTGAGCCATTTCTTTGTATTCTACCTGATCCACTCGTGCCTCCCCCCACAATAATTTACATTTGACCTTTTATTCATGAATAACAACTGTCCAGCAAAGAGTATTTATTGGCCATTATTATAGCGATCGATGTACCGTAGAATAGCATTGTCTTATCAGGAGTGCAATTGATAAATGATACCCAACTCCTAGTCAGTCATTTGAATCTCACCGTCAAAGGTATCCACAATTTCTCATCTAATAACAACTGAAGAAAAGCACTCGTCCTCAGTGATGGGCGAGGCAAAACTAATCTAGAATTTTCTCCAGATCTAATGGTCCGGGATGACATTTTGGGTAGGCGGGGAGATGTTTTCCGTTCGGAGACAAAAATTTTGATAAATGTGGAAATATGAGGAGGAACTCTCGGAGATAAAATTTCACGGTGTCCAAATAAAGTCAGAAGGATAAAGTACTTTTTGTTCCAGTTAAAACATAACGTTATATCACCTTCGCAAAGGGGGATTTCACTCGTCTAATGGTGAGCACTGCCCAGGAAGATCTCTCCTAACTATTCTTATTTCTCTGCCTCAGTCACCTCTCTAGTACAACCGCCTTTAATCTGTTCAAATACTCTGATCCTTTAAATATCACCACCGATTTCGATTAACTGATATGGTCTTACACAATTTTAACCTGGAATGTTAGCACTTACATTTCTGTCGTTAATGATGGCGGTAGTGATGATCAGGGATTAGTTTAGGTTCCAGTGTGCCAAGGTCGAAACACGGTTACTCACTTTAACCTATTTGAAACATTTCTAGAAAATGTAATTACTAAACCTGTCCTTCATCTGCGGGCAGACTCGCTGATACCATTGCGATTGGACGGATTCATGGCGAGCGAGCAGGAGGCCCACTTTGATTGGTCAGTACATCGACCAATCACAATTGGGTAGAAAAACACCAACTGAAGAAGACTATTGGTCAGGGGAGCAAAACTCTCACATGCATCTTGTTTACAAAACTGAACATCCATCTTCTCCTTGAATGCGTTTTTCTGAACTTTTCTCGATATTCATTGACTGTTACTCAAATGCAAGCAAATACTATAAAGTGACTCCACGAATTCCATAATAGATCTCACTTTTCAAGAGACCAACGAGCGAATTTACGAGAAGACACTACTTGCATGCCTCATCAGTAGTATCCACCGTTACAACGGTAGCTCCGGTGAGTCTAGTGGGAGTGATCCACAAGTGCGCTACCAAGTTCAGCGACGAACAGATTAATAGCCACCCGGTTATCGACATCCGTAGACAGGGTCTTGTTGCGGTAAACATCCCATCACGTACTGCAAGCTTTCCTGTCAGTGGAACACTTAGTAACTTAGTAACTTAGGAACTTAGTAACTCGAGGCTCAATTGACTTGGGTATCTGAGTTCGATAAATTTTGATAACTCTGGACGAGGACCACCTAAAGTGGTAAACTTTTGGAACAAAAGGCATCTACTCCGCGAATCACCTGGAAGTTTGGTGGTCAAGTTGAACATAAATTTGTCAGAACCTCCAGGACTGCGTCCAACTTACGAGTCCCAAGAGGAGCAAAACCAGCTGTGGGCTGTTGGGATCTTTTCCAGATAAGCCCCCCAAAAAATTAACCCCCGGCACAAAAAAAGATTAGACAAATGTGGAATATAAAATTTTCACTTTTAGTTCTCATTGAAGAGGGTGAACTTGGGACGTCATTATTAGTTTGTCTGGCTTAGTCCGTTTTTCGGTAACTTTGCATCCAAACGAACTCACACAAGTAGCTGTCCACTAAGGATCGGTGTGTGCCGCACAGGCGTTCATTCTACATCTTGTTGACGTGCCCCGCGTGTTTTTCACGGTCAGATATTAGCGTTTTATCGATATCGACGTGTAGACCTAGGCCGCCGATAACTGTTGGAGTCTGCAAAAGCCATCATAGGCACAATTCGCGAAGAAAGATCTTTTAGTCAACAGCCATCGTGTGGCTAAGAGATAATTCCTCTGAATAGAATTTGATTTTTGCCAAATTTTTGAACCAGTAATAAATGAATAGAATTAATGCCCTAAACTCCATCCTAGACCGCTCCAGCCAAGTTCCATTTCGAAAACCGATTCCTTGCCGACACTGTCGGGCATTACAACTCCACCTGTCAGAAACAGTTGAAAGTGTCATTCGGTGGCCATAAACGTTGGCATAATCGTTGCCGATGGACCACTTCGTGGCTATGCAGAAAACGTATTGCTGTCTCTTTGTGATGAACGAGAGTTGAAAGTGTCAGAAAGTTCACTTAGGGTTTTACGTCCGAGCAGAGAAACTGTTTGTCTAGATGCGGAGTTGGATTAGAAACGTTCCATCGCCAATTGAGATGACATCATCAGTGCGTTTATTTTGGGGAGCGCAGTGGGGCGTGTCGGTGGGTCAGTGGTTGTGCGTTGAGCGGTGGTCCCTGTGGGTCGATGTGTCTGCTTCTAGCCGGGTTGGCTTTCCAAAACGATTGGGTGTTTAGTAAGACGTCTTGATTGTCTGGACTGTTATCCTCCATACTGATTGGTCGGTCGTCACGTGACCTTTGAGTCTGATCGAGCCCTACTTTCGTCCTATCATGGTAGTAGCAGCAGTTCGGTGACACTAAAGAACGCATCATTATCTGGGTTGGGACATTAGGCAAAACTACACTTTTCCGTCGTAACGAGGACTTTATGATCAGATCTTCGCAGACCCCGGGAGCCTTCTTCCCTGAACATGGCGATGGTGAAAAGCGTTGGTTCATTTCTTGGTAGATGGTGTCGTTCTGCGTTGTGAACTTCCGAGAGGCGAAACTCTTTGAGGCCAAAATCTCCACAAACTGTAAGAAACTGTTTCAATAAAGAAAACAGTGTTGCTGAAAACTCTTCGACAGCCCACGACCGGTTTCGCCCTCCTTGGGGCTCATCAGGTAAGCGCACATTCCCTGAGTTTCCGTCAACCCAAATTGTCCTTCCGATGATTCAATTTCACAATCTGTACCTTCTGTACAGTGCGGCGTCGGAATGGGATATCTTGAACAATCAGCAATTCTGACTCCTTGAACGAACGTGCTGATTCTGTCTGGTTTCGAGCGAGAAAACAAGAAATACCGCCTAACTCAGCTTCTGTCCGGAAGGTTGAAACGTGTAGGCATCTCAGAATACTTGTGATGGGCAAGCGACAGGTCCCTTCCCATCCGATCTTTCGTTTTATTCAGGTTAGGGATTTGTACTTGTGGCTGTACGATAGTAAACCACCAGTGTCCACAGTGATGTTGATGGTGGCGAAGACTGGGATCACTTGTTGGATGCCGAGGCTTCCAGCGGAAAGAAGCGAGGATCACGTGTGAAATGTATGCCATTATTTTCTGAAGCGCCGCGTGAAGCGGGGGAAAACTTGAGCTTGAAGTTGGGCAACACCCTCAAGGACACGTTTTTACCCGTGAACAGTTGGAATGGCTGGAAGCTGTGCTGTTCTCTGGTGATACTTCACATGGTCAAGCTTTTGAAGAACATCGGCTGGATTTTGCGGCTTCTTCTAGGGAGCGTACTGTCGGAACTCGGTTATTGACTGCAGGTAAATGAACTGCATCAAAAGTCCTTTGTGTCTGCAGAACAAAACGTTTCTGAGGTGACGACTTAGTGATCGACTCCAAAGTTTCCCGAGCTGTGTGAGGTGACTGGTTTCCTCTACTCAGATGAGGAACTAGCTAGGAAGACCTTCTACTCAACGGAGTTAAATGGATACACCCTCTGTATTTGCCATGCGCGCAAGTGTCTTTGGCGGGTGTGTGGCGCTGCGGCAAACGGCGGAACCTGTCAACCAAGGCGACGCGCAGCTGGTTCGGCCACATACATCGAATGAGCTGCATTCACCGGCCAGGTTCCCGTTTTTCTGCTGGAAATATGGCCGAGAAAGCTTGGAGTCGCATGGGAAACTGGTGATGAAATGTGTAGAAGAATCTGAACGCGCAGTCAGTTTTTCAGATCTTCACCACACAGTCACAGAACGACCAAATCAAAGGAGAATTAAGAAGTAAATTCGTTATGCTCTACTCATAAGGTTGCAGAAAATTCGTTGATGGCCCACGACCGGTTTCGCCCTTCTTGGGGCACATCAAGTAGGCACAGTCCCCGAGTTTCCGTCAACCTCACGTTCTACTTGAAACCAAATTAGCGAAACGAACCCATTTGCTAACTAATTCGGTTTTGCGAGAGAAGAAAGAGGATTCGACAAGGAAGACATCGAATTAACCAATGAAGCACCAGGAATTTGCTCTCTATCAGAATCCAAAATCCTACATCTAATAGGGATGTTGGGCCGGCCAATCAAACTCAGATGGGTAGAAATACGACTCAAACTCGAAACTCACAGCTGACAGATGAGATCCAGGGAAGAAAGCTATCAAATACCACAACGTAACACAACTCACAATCGGACCAATCAGAATGGGGCTGAAATAAATCGCTGATGAAGCAATCGAATGCAAGGAATACAGACCACAGCGCAATACATTCGGTAAATGGACCAATTACCTCACCAGATGGCTACTCTCCGTCTCTCTACCCACGAAATCATCATCGATCTGCAGTTTGTCAGCTCTGTGACTCTACTGAAGTTACCATACTGGACCGTTCTGGTTGAATCATTCATAGAACGATTAAATTCAATGTATCATAGAGACATTCCGGCCTGCATAAGTGTGGTGACCATTTACTGTCGACTTTCCCAAACTAGTCTCTGCAGATTGGGAAGTGAAAAATATGCAATCTGACGTAGTCTACCTTGAAAATTCAACCTCCTGGGGGTGGTGTTTTCACGCACAACATTTCCTATCCATGTCATTGCTGATCTTCACTGATAAGTTTCTCACTACCCCTGCTTGAGATCACTAAAGCCTCCCTAAAGCCTCATCATCATCATCGACAGCATGACATCAGTGTTCAACACGGATGCTTCACTGCCTTACAACTACGATGTATTGGAAAGCCTTATTGCAAAAAAAAGGGTAAGGGTGGACGGGGAAGGTGATAACAAGAACGCCACTGACATCGATTAGCGGCCATATCTTGCAATGTCTCCAGCCAGGCACAGTGAGGATCACGCGGTCCCCATCCTGGAAGGCGAGTAGCACCGACAGCACCAAATTATTTCGTGATCTCCTTCATACCCCTCTGCCAAATCAAGGATTGGCCACCTCTCTGTTTACGCCACTCTGAATTGGGCGTGGAAATTCCTGGATTCACACGGAACTACGCAAAATCACAGACCTAAAATAAATGACCTTAAGGATTTAACTTGTTCAGACTTTTCAGAACTTCCGCGTGGTTCGTATTCCGTTCTATTTTGACTAGGATCGGCGACGAACTAGCTTCAATAAGCGCTGTTCCAAGAAGCTCTTCCACGCTTCATCTTCGCCTAGTATGATCGTTCTTTTCAAAGACTTGTCAGTGGTTACTTCAATCGTCCCGACACATAACAGTTGATAGCAACCGTCAGGACACTTGAGAGCTGTGAAATCGATCAATCTTTGGTCACTCCTGCTGGCGCATTCGAAAAGTGCACAGAACAACTACTCTGGCGTCATTCAATCGTCTTCCTATCCTATAAAACTTCCATCCCCCATGTGTGCATCGCTCCGTTCTCCAAGGTTTGCTGACCAGAATTGGTTGTGAAATCTCATATTTGACAGGTGACTTGTTTCCATTTGCTGAGCAGAGATCAAAGAACGGTTTCCGCGTGGATCGTGGTCAGTCCGGGGATTATTCGTACGAATATGGTCGCTGTTTCCTAATTCACTAGTGACTGAACGTTGAATGATTCAACCACTCCGATAAACGGGCTTCCAAACCTCATGTTTCCATCGTCTAGTTCTGAAATGAGGAAGCACGGTGGCACGTATCCACCCACAGATGTTGGCGGCGAGACTTAGCAAACTAGTTCTGGCTTCCCTTTGAATAAACGCACAATTCGTAGCCAATCCAGCTGATAATCGGGCTCCACATCACCTCCCTACATGAGCATCTAAATGCGACGGTCTCGTGTTAAGCGAGTCGGTTTGATGATCTTTTCCAGTCACCCTGTGTCCTTCCACCCACCCAAGAAGTCCCCGATTTTGTATTACTATTGATTTTCTTCGTGTTATCTTCCCGACAGGCATAGAGTGTGTAGAACATGTTGGCCAACCCATATTTTTCCGCAGGGTTGATTGTCTAAATAGGTGTGTTTGAACCTGGTTGCCGTGACGACAAAAGTACCAATCGACTTGGAACACAATCGTATGTTTACCATCGTTTGCTCCGTTTGCTCTCCATTCTCTTCAGTTTGTGAGTACTATTCACACTACGAGTGTCTGGACTTTGCGTCGACGGATTGTAAACAATGTGCCGTATCCACAATGACCACTGCACTGAAAGTAAGTTTCCACATGCCATCCAATGCCCCTCTGGTTGATACATTCGGTTTTTTATTGAACGTTTTGTACAATGGTCATCCCCCTTTCCCATTTTCTTTTTCGAACTCCTCTCAGCCGAAAAGTCCCACACAACTGGTCCCTGTAAGTTCTCCTTCGACACAAGCCCGACCATTCAAATCCCCCACAGATGACTTGCTTGGACAGAGTACGGACTCCGGAGATAATTCTCAACCGGCTAGTGCATTCCAATCTCCTAAATCTGCCTTTGGTCCCCCGTTCCGTGGTTCACCCTCCTCCCCCGCCGCCCAATCATCGTCCTTATCCACGACCGGACCGATTAGCAATGAATCCACTTTGCTCAGCGCCGACGCCCCGGATCGTCACCTCCTGGCATTAACCAATCGACTGGCAACAACATGTTTGACGGACGATGGGGCAAGCACCGGACCAGAAAAAACGCAGCCACATTTCCATCATTGGAGGGAGGGAAATCTGCCGATGACTTCCAAATGTGCTGCGTGCAGGAAGACCTGTTGGTCTACGGAATGTCTGACGGGCGTCAGATGTGAATGGTGTGGAATTACAGTGAGTCTGTCAACGTTTGTGACCCTGTCGAGCTACCTATAAGTTTAGAAAGAAAGAAGTGTTGAAAAATCCGTATTTTGGATCGTAAGGCTGTTGATCAGTTCGTGATGTTTGGAAACGGTTTGTGTCACCAGTTGAAGAGGTAACTGCGCACAGACGATGTTCCCTTACAAAACGTTTGTAATCCGACTGTCAAGCTCAGAGGAAGGGCTTCTAGCCCGCAATCAAGCGTTTGAACACTATTCACGGACCACTGTGCCGTGGAATTCTCTTTGTTTATTCCAAAGTCAAAGGGAGCTCTTAGTCTGCAACAAATAGAATCACACCCTGTCGGTGCGACCCGAAAGAAGCACGAGAGTTGAGATACTTCCAGGTTGCCTAAGCCCAAGCAGGAGCAGTCGAGATACAGGGTTTAGGTTCGAACTCTGGACCCTCCGGTGAATGATTTCACGCTTCAACTACTGAACTGTGCTGAGCCCAATGACCGGAAGAAGAGATCGCGAAAATACTACCTTTCGTTTCCTTGTGTTCTGGATTGTAACTGGGATTCTCACACATTGCTCATCTACTTTTCCAAAGCCAAGGAGATGTTTAGCAGTTCCGTTTTTGTGATCTCGATGAGTCCAAACTGATCCGTATGTGAATAATCTCAGTAAGGGGGCCAACCCAACAGTATTTTGTTCTCTAGAGCGCCACGTTTTCTTGATTCCGTTACGTAGAAGTAATCCCGTGATTTCCGATTCGTCGTGAAACATGGCTGAAAAAAGCCGGGGGTACCGTCCTTTCCGAGGGACCCGCTGTCCCGATTAGCGGGAAACTGGTTACAATAAGCTGTGCAAAGTGATCCTTCGTGGATAACACAGTCACGTGTGAAGGTCATCACACAAGAAGGTTAAAGTACTGACTACATTTCACTTTGGTCTACAGCGTGTGACTGGCTGTTGCTCAATCCAAAGAACTCAAATGTTGCATTCTATGACTAATAAACTAATGATCGTTCAGCTGTAACAGCCTTTCGGTGCCTAGCTGTAATGCCATCCGGAGGAAGCGCGAGGGCTGGGATACTGCCGGGTTGCCCAAGCCTAGACGGGGGAAGTCGAGAGGCAGAGGTCGGGTTCGAATGACGGACCTTCCGGTCAGTAAATTCACGCGCTCTAACCACTTGGGCCGTTTCGTGCGATGTTGATTCGTATTCGGACTGTAGATTTTAGTTCCATGGCGTTCCTCTTACGTTTAATTTGAGCTCTGGGTTACGTAGATTGCACCTGGAGAAGGGTCTTGAGCAGAAATCACGACCAATCAATTAAGGTGTCGCCCTCAGTCAACCCCATTCACGAAGGGCCAACCAGACGCGCCGAGTACAACAATCAGAATCTCATCGACTAATCCTAAAGTTTTTCACCTATGGGATGCCACCAGGGCGCTTATCCGATAAAGTGTGACGTGATGTTTGGCATCAGAGGTCTGTTCTGTTTCATTCGTGAATTTCGTCCTCACTACTTACAACATATGAGTAATCTGTTCACAAAGGAAGCAGTCCGTGGTACGGCTTTCGCAGACCCTCAGTTAAATAGCCAATGAATACTAAACTGCATAAACCAAGGGATTTAACTGCGCAAGATGAGTCAACATTTTCACTTTTGGAGGGCGATTGCATCACACGTTTTATCATTTGCCAGAAACTAGATAATGGGATATTTGACAGTCCGAAGACTGCGAGACCCGTGCGCTGTCGTGGGCAACTTTTACCTAGAGACTTTCCAGCATAGTCTACTTTTTGTATTTCCAAGTGGTCTTCAAGAACAAACGTGTCCAACTGGCTTTCCTCTGTACATCACCTTAGCTGACCAATCCCGTTGAGGGGGATCTCTGCCAATCAGAGCTTCGTAAAACAGATTCGAATTGCGTTTGTCAGTGACTCTTTTTCAGCGATAAACACAGCCCGTTACTTGTTAACTTCTTTCATTCCTTTCGTGCCCACTAGTTCCATGGCTTCTGTTTTCTTTCCACACCACTAGGTCATCAGTCACCTCAAGACTTCCAAAGTTCATTTTATACTCAGTAATGAATGAGTATGTCTGATATTGAAGAGAATTCCTTGCGCTTTAGAGATTTTCACACTCCCCAATCCTATCAACTGGAAAGTGGTGATTCTTCAAATGCCTAAGTTGCATTTTGTTCTGTCATCCTTCTAAAAACTTCAGACAGCCCTGCTTGCTATCGAATGACCGCTATCCCATCATCATCATCATCATCGACAGCATGACATCAGTGTTCAAAACCGGTGTTGCGCTGCCATACAACCATGAGTTATTTGAAAGCCTTATTGTGAAGAAAAGAGTAAAGGTGGACAGGGAAGGAACTTAGTGCGAGCTAACCACAATCATCCCGAGGTGTCTACACCCTATAGACATTCACTCAGGCAATCTGGATAGAAACTGACAACAAGAACGCCACTGACATCGGTTGCCAGCCATATCTTGTAGTGTCTCCAACCAAGCATAGTGAGGATCACGTGGTCCCCATCCTGGAAGGTGAGTAGCACCGATAGCACCCAAGCGTTTCGTGATCTCCTTCATACTCCTCTGCCAAGTCAGGGGTTGGCCACCTCTCTGTTTACGCCACTCTGAGTTGGGCATGGAAAACAGCACTCTCTTCGGCAAACGATGGTTCGGCATACACAACACGTGTTCCAACCAATGCACTTTCTGATGCTGGACACATTCTTCAATGGAGGCATCCGTTGCACAATTGAAAACGCGCTTTCTAACTGCCTCGTCACGGATTCGCCGACACCAATCGACACGAGCTATGGTTCTGAGACAACGATTGTCGAACACCTGAAGACGTCTCATTTCCGCTGCTCTAATAGGCCAAGTGTCACAGCCACTTTCGGTTGAATGGGGATAATGCTAGTGACTGCCTTCATTGTTGCCATGCTTTTGGGGTCTCTGGTTTCGACCTAAGTTTGCGCCTCTCTCCGACACTTCTACTTCGTGCATAGTCCGGTTGTTTCAAACGAACTCGTCTTTGCTAAGGCTTTCGGCTACTGCTCAACGTTATCTCGATTTACCAGCACTTGAAATAACCAATGGACATACGCAAGAGAACGCACAGAGGTTGGAACACTGCGTCGACTATATCGCGGACACTGATACTTTCTTAGCGATGTTGTGGAATGTAGGTAGCTCGGTTGCGCTGTTTGGTTGTTGTTCTGTTCGCCGAGCTTGGCAGTTGGATTGCAAACGTTTCATCCCCAATCGAGGTGACATTGTCAGCACAGGGTTGAGTGACTGAATTGCTCCTCTTCTGCCTGTGATTATATAGCATCCAAACAGTATCTGGTAGTTTTGAAAACGGTCTTCGCGTAGTTTGAATCAGACGCGGTCTCAACCTCCTGTTTCTGGTTGGTTCTTTGGGTGCATTCAATTCGTCAGTTCTGTGTGTGGTTGTTCTGTTGTGATTCGGCCGTTTTTCTTCTCGTTTTGTGGTGTGGGTTTTGTTCCCTTGATTGGTTGATTCAGCGGCCCTCTGATTTTAGTGATTGTCTTCCTTTGACCCAGTTACTCCGTTGGTTGCCGTTAGGTTTCTTAGCTCCGAGTCCCGTGACCGTGTGGTTCTTTCGCTCGCAACGGCTGATAGACTGGGTCAATGTCGATGAGTTTATTGATCGATTTTTATGTGGAGTACCACGCCTCGGCAAATTCTCGCTCCTGTTTTGTTCTTGCGTGAGCAAGTATTTGAACGATATCCCGATTGAACCTGTGTCCTCCAACGTCTTCGTGAATTGAGACAAGTGACATTAAATCACGCCTTCTGCTGGCAAGCTTGTGTTCGTGTATTCTGGTAGCAAGTTTTCCTCCCGTTTGGCCAACATGGTGTTTGTCGCAGTCGTTGCACTTAAGTTTGTAGACCAAGTTAGTCTTCTTCAATTCATCCAAGCCTCCCTTTGGTTTCGAGAGGGTTCTTCTCAACGTGTTTGTAGGCTTAAAGGCGACTGCAATTCCATGTTGCCGTAAGTGTCGTGCAGTCATCTCCGCCACGTTTCTGATATACGGCAGCGTAATCTTCCTCTGTTCTGGTCGCGTTGACGGATCAGCTTTGTGGTGGTCTCGAAAGCCCTCCGATATGAAATTCCTCCGAATATCTCGTAGAGTCTTCGTTCTTCTTTTTTCTAAGTCTCTGTTGTGTTTTGCAATGTGTCTCCACCCGCTTTAATAGAGTTTGAACACAGCTCCGCTTGTGACAGTCCGGATGGTTGCTGTGGTAATTCAGAATCTGGTCCGTATGCGTTTCTTTCCCGTATACTTCAGTTTGTAGTTGGCCGTTTGTTGTTACTTTGATTGGTACTTTCTCACAGCTGGGTTATTTCACTTGCCTTAAAAGCCTAGAAAATTAACTTCTCGAATAGGCTCCTATTTTCCAGGCATCTGGGGTTAGTTCTACCGTCTTCTCCCTCACACAGGCACACTTTTCCTGTCAGAAGAATCTCCCCATAGAATGCGATTTTGGCGTTTTGCGTGAGATAATGTTACCACCTGCTTGTGTCTCTCTGCCTCGAACAAGTCTCCTTGTGGAACAAATTATCGGAATGACGAGGCCACCTCCGGAAACCCTGATGGGGGGTAAGTTTCTTTCTCCCTCCCGACAAGTTGTCCTTCACTCTTGGTGGCCATATATCCCACGTTCATAGGAGTCCAACGGAACAAAGCTTTATCAACACATGCTAGGTATGAAAAGCGGTCATCCAAGATGTGTATCCAACTCGGTGCTCGACCCATCGGTCCCCATGAGGTGAAATTGCTCGCCCTCTCTACAATTCAACTCTCACAAGGACTTACGGACTGGTACTGACACCCTCCGCATAGAGACATTCAATAATTTCTTGCGTATATTAGTGTTCTCTTTTGTTAACAACAAAAACCCACCTGGTAAATCAGAAGGCGAGAAAGAGACACTAATAAAACCTGTCTTTTGAGAGCGTGAGGTTACAACAACTAGGTGCACGCACCTTACTCAAGTTGAATACAGTACCAAAAAAGTTTAAACGAAGGACTTATCGTTTTGAGTGTAAGTTGTAATAGTACCACCGATTTCGTTTGGTGGGATGTGGAACAAAACAAGCGCGAGGGAAAAGTTTAAACGAAGGACTTATCGTTTTGAGTGTAAGTTGTAATAGTACCACCGATTTCGTTTGGTGGGATGTGGAACAAAACAAAGCGCGAGGGAGACAGTGGGTGGGGATGCACTAATCAGATTGGGCAACCGCTACACGCACAAGCAATCAGTTTTTTTGAGACATCCCTTCCTGAAGAGCCCTCTTTAAAGAGCCGACTAAAATCGCGCTTCTATAAGGCAATCCCTTCCTGAAGGAAGCTCACAACACATCAGTGTGTGTCTTCTCCAGGAAGCTTCCCTGACTTCTTTGGAGAGGCGATTCCGTACCACTCTACTGACTTGTTCTGAACCCTGCATTTCGCGTGGCTGATTACGTATTTCAGCTGGCACGTTCACCTGCCGACACAGGATATGAGCAAGTGATCTTGGATGAAGCCCTCGTATGCACTACATAGGATGCCTTTTTCGGGAAAAGTTTGTATGACCTTGGAGCTCATGGGTGTCTATCATTTAGCACTTGTCAAACCTCATCTCAGTTTTCGACGTTTCCAGTCCCCAGAGAAATTTTTAGCTTCATTCTTGTGAATATTCGATTTGAACATGAGATGCAAACTAAGCAGTTGGACAGTGGCTACTCAGTCTATTTAAGTAGTTCGTCACACCCACAACTTTGGGGTGAGAAAACGTTGGCAAAATGTGTACTATATTAACGAAGGAACTCGGTGCAACTAACCTGTTTGTCGGAGAGACCCACGCGCTGGAACCCCCAAATATTGCACAATCTTAAGGCACTCGCTGATATCGTACACGTCAAGACACAGACGGTCTCACTCGAGAATGTTCTCTCCGGAGAGAGACAACCGTACTACCAAGCTCCGTTTTTGACGTGTTCTGTCTACTGGCCTTGTCATTTCTTTGACTAGTCTGCTGTGTACTAAAACGACCAATCACCTTGGAACCAAGTGATTTTTGAACCTGTCCATTTCACTGATGTTTGACACATCTTCACAAACGAATAGTGTGTCTGTCTTCCCCTCTGGCAGGAGAAACGTTCATAGGAAACCGAGCGTCGAAATCGATAACTTTTAGAGAGTTCCATGTAGCTTCGCCCAGTGATCGATACGCTCCAAGGAGACATGAATAGAGCCGAGGTCTCTTCAGGAGAACTATATCGAACTAACCTTTATGTCACAGTGTTTGGTAGTTCTTAACATGACTTGATGGGAAGCGCAATGGATCGATCGATTCGTATTTCAAGTGGATGATCATTTCACTTTGTTACGATGACCAATCGTGTGCCCAGTTACTACCACCTGGTTACAGAGAGATCCATAGAGCCATAGGACCCTTCATCCGGTCCTATTAGAACTCAACAGTGCTCAAAAGCTCAACGGTCATCCGACTCATAAGACGAGCACACTCTGAACGCAGCCGACCCGTCCAATCAGGCAGTAATGTCCACACGTCAGGCTGAGATTGATTTATCGCATGCCTTCAACGATGATTCACCCTGGGTTTGGAACACCGTCATTGCGAACGGTCATTGTGAAGACGAGTCGGGTCGATAACTTCCAACTACCTGGATGGGGACCCCGGGACTTAAATGAGTCCCGGTCTATCTGAAGATTGACCAACCCATAACGTGATCGATTGTACGGATAAACTGGAAACGGTCCTCTCGGGTCACTTGCGCCTTTTGCCTACTATGCCCCGCTTGCTATTTGTGTCTGACCGATTGCGAGTCACCTGACAGCCCGAAATTTTCAGCTCTGTTTCGACTCAAATTCGTTGGAACTTGGATGTTTGTCTCAGTAATCTCCCTATGAATTCATCTTATTGTTCCGTCCACATCTTGAGCTCTTCCAAGCTTCTCACGTGGACAGTAGAATGTACCGGAGAGAAAAACAGCCAGATTTGCGTGTTTATTGTGTTGCGAATCGAGTCATTGAAGCAAACATCCGGTTCTCCTGTGAGTTGTTTTGTCGCGTTGCCGGAACTGCTCCTCCCCTTGCCTCCGTCTTATTGTGATTGGCCCATTTGGTACGTCCACCCCATATGGTCAGCCATTCGGGAAGCGGTCACGTGACAGACTTTCCCTTGTGTATTGTCCATGTCTAATCAACCATCTGTCTATTTGTGGATGGCACACGATACTACTTATATACCGATAATTGGTAAACTCTTTTCACTCAATAATTTGTTTATTCATTGTGTTTGACAGTTCAATCGTTGACTGATGAATTTTCCAGTAGTGGGGATAGTCCAGAGGAGTCAGGGATGGACAGGCGATCGATTAAAGAACGGTCAGATTTCGATGGTGAGTACCTCCGTCTCGTTATCATCTTGTTTCCTTTTCTCTGTCGCGTGCTAATGTCCATTTTCGGTTGTCCATCAAGGCTTTGTTATGCCGGAACAATATCACTTGCAGGTACAACGTTCCATCTGAGTTCCATCCCCATCGTTCCTAACCTAGTATTAGGCAACAGACCTAATCTGGTCAGGACCATTGTTCAGTAAGGTCACGGAAATAAAATGAGATTGACGGAAACTCGGGGACTGGACCTAATTGATGTTGAGCCCCAAGAAGGGCGTAGTCGGTGGTGGGCTGTCGAAGAGGTTTCAGCAATTTTGCGAGTAGTTTCCTTTGTGAATCTCGAATATCGTGCCAACTGGAACATGGGGTGACCTGTGTGCAGCACATTCAGTTGTACAATATCATAAATGATAGATTCAGTTGAGTCTTTCGTGAAAACGAAATTGATTTGCAAAGTATATTTCTCCTGTTGGTTGCTGTTCTGTTCGCTGAGCTGGGTAGACGTTTCGTCACCAACCGAGGCGAGACCAGCAGGACGTTGAGCATTGCTGTACTTCCACTTATAAATTTCTTTTTGGCGTGTGAGCGGTAGCCTCTGCTTCTGACTGATCGTCTGGATGGTTGGTCGTAGCAACTGCGGTCCATCTGTACATTACCGGCACACATGCACACCAAAAAGTCAGTTAGAAAGTGGTCGCGACTTAGCAAGGCGTACTTTTGTGACAGGTTTTATAGCCCCACATAACTGTCCTCAAGCAGTTGCTCACTGGTCTTCAATACTGATGAGCACATAAAGTTAGGATGGACCCCCGGGGTTTGATAAAATACCTCACCGGTATTTGCATTAGGGCTTTCTGCTGTCCAGTCAAACTCCAAGGCATGTTTCGGTCGATTCTCCCAACACAGTTTGCGCATCCCATAAGTTCTGCCTGATTTCCCCTGTCTTTACAAGGTCAAATCAGTTTTGTACACCAAAGTGGAGTTGAGCCATTACTAAGCATAACTGTTCTGGTCCGTGGATCTCCTGGTAGAAGTACGAATTGAAACGGGGTTCAGCTGGACCCTGATCGGTTGCGAGGTTAAAACAGTCATTTCCGTCGAGCCCACTGCACTTGTACGCCGTTTGGTCCAAGCTGCAGAGACAGTTCTTGATGCCAAGAGGTGACCGAAAAAAAGAAGACTGACCTAAAAAGCCACCGGGAAGCGGAGACATAGTCGTGCCAACGTTTTGTATACCTACAGATGACAGACCTGTCAGTGAAGACATTCTATGCTGAAGAAGCCGAAAAGTACTCGGAATCGTCTGCGGTGCACAGTTCACGAAAGTTTCAACAAGAGTTTTCAACCAGTGACAGCTGAGCGCGAAACAAAGTCAGGTAAAAGTTGGTATTGTCTCGAAGTTCGTCGGTGGCATCTGGCCAACAATTACACCGCTGACAAAACCACACTGAGGTGGAAAAATTCGTTCAACTGTAACACCCTTCCGGTGCCTAGCTGCCATGCCACCCGGAGGAAGCACGAGGGCTGGGATACTCCCAGCTTGCCCAAGCATAGTCAGGAGAAGTCGAGAGACATAGTACGGGTTCGAACCAAGGACCTTGCGGTCAGTAAATTCGCGCTCTAACCACTTGGGCCATCTCGCCCCATTGGAGTAGAATTATCGCAAACAGAAGATTTTTTAACAAAGTATCCCTCCGTCCTCTTTGTAAGGCAATCGAACACATGGATCATGGGGATAATAAAACCTGGTTGCCTAGTTGCCATGCCACCTGGAATGAGAACTAATTTTGAGGTACCGCCAGATTGTTCAATTCCAGACAGGAGTAATCGAGATGCCATTATTAGTTTGGAACCACTGACCTTCATGTCAGTAAGTTCAAACCATCTGGAAAAGACTACTGGTTAAAGGAAGAAGGCCTTCGCTGCGGAGTTATTTATTATAAAATGCCAACTGAACAGTTACAGACTATTGGACAGGGGAGGAAAACTCTCATATGCATCTTGTTTACAAAAACTAAGTATCCATTTTATCCCTGAACGCGTCTTCCTGAACTTTCCTGAATGTTCACTGACTGTTGCTCAAACCCAAGCAAATGCGACTCGACAAGTTCCGTAATAAATCTCCCATTTCAAGAGACACAAAGCGGAGTTACGAGAAATCATACTACTCGCATGCCCCAACAAGTAGTATCACTGTTGCACTGGTACCTAAAAAACAATTGTGGAATTAATCAGACGAGGGGCCTTCAGTTGGCAACAGGTTTCGGTTTCTTCAACCGCCTTGTTCTCATCGCTCGTACGGAACAGCTATCGAAGAGAACGCAGCCAGCGTTCAGGCACTGTAGTAGTGTATAGGGAAGCTGGCCTCTGACGCGGTTGAGATCCGCTCACATTCACGGGCACAGAATTCCACCCCTAATCGTTTCGATCTCCCAGAAGTGTTCTATCCTCCACTCCGTTAACTGCTATCAAATGTTCGTCCCTTGAGTTGGCGACGGGATCTTCCACACCTGTCTTTCGCGACTTTGATGGCCACGTTTTATCCTCATACGGAATTCTTGTCTCTGTTGGGAATGTGAGAAACTTTTTCGAAAGTTTCAAATGAAATTTCGTCCCGTTAGTGAAGCAAAAACGGTGGTGCAAAGCCGAGATGCTGCTTCATCCCTATTCGGACTCATCAGCAGTGCGCATCTCACAAGACTTCAGGGTGTTTCGAACCCGTGACCTTTCAATCAGTGAGTGAACACTTGAACGTAGCATAGATTGTCTTCACTGAACGGACGAAATCTTAATTGAAGATCATCAAATCGCTCCACAAAACCACCAGTCTATAAGTAGTATCTCCGAGGAAAAATAATTTCACAAGATGCTCGTGACCTTTAGCTGAGAAGTCCTCACTCGAGGAACCAATCAGCATGGGAAAACGTGATGCGATTTCTGTGGTTGAAGAATGATTGGCACCACACGCTTTCCAAGTTACAGCTGATCACACCGCTTTTCATCCGCTTGTAGCCGAACGATTTAGTTCTCAGCCACTGGCCGGGAGGTTTCCTGTTCGAAATTCTCTAAGTTTCGTGAGGGGTGCATTGCTAATGATTCTAGCCAAGGAGGGAACAGTGCTTGTCGGCTTTTCAGCTTGACGAGATCTCTATTTACATTCTTGTATCTGTCACATTCAGTCGAACACTGGCAGCAGCACCAAGCACGTCATCTGTCACAGTGGTAAACGAATGAAAAACGGTCCCATCAATGCTAACAGCCATTTTATCAATTTCCACTTTATCCGGCACGCGATTGGACGTTGCGTCCGTCAGAACCTCCCTGTGGCCTCGTCAAGTGTTTTATTGTCAGATTCATTAAGATTATTCAAGAACAATCTAAACCTACTGAGACATCTAAATTCCACCAGACGCCGATCAAACGGCCTTGGATCAAGGTCAAGTACAGCGCGAGACCGTTGCACTCGCACCTACTCGCTTTTTGCAATAAAGCTGGTGATTTCCTTGTCGGCGAGTGTTTTTTTCCGGCACTAGGAACTGAATCGAGGATAGCAGTCAGATGAAGCAGTTATCGACCGACCTGTACTTGTACATTACGCACTACGCAGCACCGCGCCCAACACCTCCCCTTACAATTCAAGTCACACGCCGTGCTCTATGAATTAGGGTTCGTAGAGTTGTTTTCGGCAGTCCTGGCGTGCGCACTGCTCCATCCCCTTACAGTGCGTGCCTCTACAAAACCGGAAGGCATGGCAAAGATTTTGATGTAGAGGTAAATCCCCACCCATGTTAGGTGAATATGGTTCTGCATGAGTAGACACCGCTGTGAACTGTGACATAGAGCCCATCAGTCGGACGTGATAAGAATGGCCTCCAGACTACCCGAAAACGCTTAATCGCATGAATTGGTCATCCCCTTGGAGCACTTATTTCCAAATTGGTCTTGAGCATCTGAAAACCAAAGGGGTTTTTGATCCTTTTTCTATTTAAAGTGACCATTTACTACCACACAAACGGATTCGTTTAACCCTAGAATTTCTAGTTTTCAATGGACGTTTTGCCCCCCTGTCAACAACCAAAAAATTCACAAAAATTTGACAGTAATGAATAAATACTGCCAAGTATACCAACTGTGACTCCTTTGCTCTTCACCCCGTTCGCCAGATTACGTTCGCGTCTACGACGGAATGGCTCGATACCGAAAACGACAGTGTCGATACCTGAGCCTCGGACGCAGTGTCTCCGTTCACAAGGTGATTGAACTATCACTGAAGGCCTTTCAACTCCCACCGGATGAGGCAAAATCCTACTGTCTTGTCGAGCTGAATGAGCGAGGTGAGTGATCTAAGTCGAATAGCTGATGTGACATCGATAAATCAGTAGTATCGAGTCAGCGACATTCTAGGACTGGCCGCTGGTCAGATCGAGCTGCGCCTGACAACTTGTTGACTGTCCCATTCACACAGTACTTCTCCATTGCTGAAGGTCATTCAGACAGAGACTACCAGAAAATGGGCATTTTGAATGGTGCCAAAGTACTTTCCCACGGAAATGGCGCAGCTACAAAGACGTCTACACCTTTGTGAATGGATACTGTTCATTCGAGTAACATCCAGGTAGTAGTGTGAACTTACTGACAGTTTAATATGAGCAACACAGTGTTGAGTTGCTTTTTAGATGAATCCTTTAAGGTATGAAGAAACAGACGAACCGGATTTGGAAGGCACCGCATTTAGTACCGATTGAGGGGTAATTCAGTCGTCACGTTCTCACAAGAAAGAGGCTACGTTCTATTTGTTCCTTGCAGTGATCTCTTCAAGGAAAGCTATGAACTATCATAGCTGAGGTCGACCCAAGTTGTTGCCCAACATTTTGCTGCTTGCGGATAGGCGAGGACTCTCGAATTAGGCCGTTGTAATGAAGCAAGGTGATGGAATTACCCGATACACTCATAGCTGGTGAGAGCGAACACTCTGCAATGTCATTTGACCTTTGACATGCTCTAGGCGATGTACTCTCCCCACATGAATGTACTTTACCACATTCGGTAGTGTTTGCTTCCAAATGCAGCCATCACCATGTGTGCCGGTTGTGAAAACCTTTTGCTTTACTGGGTCTGCTAACCTGACGGTTCAGAGAAATTGTCCGATTGGTGAATTTCAGGTCCATTAGCCTGAGGAGTTTCGTCTTTAGGTAATCTTAGTCGATGAGCGTATCCAGGTGGACATTATGCATCCAACCGGTATGTATTCCGGAGTTTGTGTCAGGACGCGCCCAGACATGAAAAAAGTACATGTGCAGAGAATGATGCATCCCCAATGTCATCATCGGTACCACACGTTCTGGACAGGTGCGTTGGCGGAGCTCACCAAACACGGTTCTCTGTCTTCTCCTTATCGCGTAGTCTGGCAGGCTCAGTGCAGGCGTAACCAATAGACGGCCACTCACGATGCAACAGTTTGCCTAATTTTTTAGTCTGATGCGTCGGTTATAAAACAATACGCTAGATTCCACGTTTTCGGTTGAGTGTTACTCATTGGTCAGGCACCGTTATTTTAGCGCATACCCAAGAAAAACGAGGTTGAATCCACATACTTTGGAAATTCACTCCTTCTTTTCCAAGAAACATTGTTTTTTTCTAACTGCTAATCACTAAAAACACTTTTATCGTTAAGTTGACTTCATGACTCGACACCATCTATCGTCCCGTGTGCGTTGCGATGTGTGGAATCACGCCAAATTGCATCTTGATGTCTCGGTCGCCGCTTGTCTTTCCGTCCTCATTTCAGACGGCGCAGAGCACGTGTTGGTCAACACTTCGTCTTTCAAATCGCAGTTGCAATTCGAAACGCGGCGACCACAAATCATTCTTCGAGTTCGAGAACGCTCAGTCGACAGAGAATACATTCAAGTCTATCCTGGTGCAATGGGGTAAGTTGTCCCCCCCCTAAACACACCTGCGTGCAGACTTATAAGTTGTACGAGGTTGTTCTGCAGTGCCCGAAACGGTGGTCCCGGTGGAAGCGCTTGGAAAGGTGTTGTGACTCACTGTCCAGTAGCAAACACCAACCAACAGCCAACGGGCGAAGTAGTCATTACTTACATTTGATTGGTTAGTCCTCTGGGTCATTCAGTGCGGTCGTGAGCTCTGCTGTGCATGTCTGTGTGCAGTCGCAGACCTGTTCGGTTTCTCAGCCAGTAACAATTGTTCAAGGGTGGCGCGTATTTCTGATCCATCCAATTGGGTCGCAGTAGCAGCCTTTACCGAGCAATTGCACCCGGATGTGGGAGAAATTACAGTGTCCTGATGATTCATGCGATGCATGCCGTTACCTTCCGTCACTGTTGTCGTGAGATGATTTTAGCCTTCCCCCTCAAATGTGTCCCTGAGTGGCGGGCATTGTATGCTACGGCGGGAACTGAGTACATCGTGGGTCTGTCTAGTACAATTCGCCACTGACTCAAACGATTTCGGGGTCTATACGGCTAAGCACTTGTGAGCAAATCGGAATGCAGTGGGCCTCGGATGAATCCCCCATTCACATTAGCTTCAACCCCCCCCCAGTGTTCAAGAATTCGTTGTATCTTGCTTTTTTTTGTGGATTGTACTTGCTTTGCTGCGTTCTGCTCTGCCTAACGGTCACCAGCTTTGTGTTGAACTTGTCAGTAGCATCTTGTCAAACGGGCGAAATTTAGCAATAGATTCTGCGGAAAGTTTTACGCAAAGAAATGCAACCAAATAGCATTGGTGATGCGGCAAAAACGATTGAACACCCACCTGAAAAGCTCAAACGAATTTTTCAGGTGTTCCTCACAATTTTCTACACCTATCAGGAAGGTCAGCTTTCTGAAAGCAACCACTGAATGCCCGGAATCTACGGAGACTCTCAGCTCCGCCGGGTGTTGGCCAGACAGACAACGCCCCCTCAATATGCAGCCCATCACAGGCTTGCATCAAACCCAGACAGCGCGAGTCAGCGTTGATCAAGGACAGACAACGCCTCCGCAATATGCAGCACGTCGCTGCCTCGTACTAAAGCCAGACCGCGTGCGTCAGCATTGGACCAAGTTCAGACAGTGTCCTTCCAATAAAAAGCTTGAGGCCGTTGTAATTTTCGCACTCGCACGCACTCGTGCTCTCGCAACCACTTCGTTGGAATATAGCTATTGTGTTCCCTTCCGTGAGTCTTTTTCTCTCCGACACTAGGCCCTGGAGCAGGTCAGCAGCAGATACCACAGGCCGACGAATCAGCAGATATAACAACACCTCTGCTATAACTCTCATCGATTTGTGGGCGCCAAGACACAATATCATCACCATGTGTTGGTTTCGCATTGCTCACAACTTGAAGTATTTCAGATGAACTCACTGCAATGGCTCTTTTCTCGCGAAAGAATACCTCAGTCCTGAAAACACTTTTGGTAGTGTCTCGTCGTGAAACAAAGTGTCGTAGAATGACCTTGTGTCGGATAGGATTCCACTGATATCATGTGTTTTGAATCGCTGGACGTGTTCGCGTTTCAGATACATCCTTTTTGGTGCTAACGGGATAACATGTAAACTCTGATGCGGAAGCCGTTTGACCTTCATCAGTACTGAAATACGTTCGATGATATTCGGAAGAAATAACTCACCCACGATAGATGAACTAACGACTTTCCACAGGTTGCGCTGGCTTGGCCACGTGCTCCGTATGCCAGTCGACCGACTACCTCGAAGGGTTCTTTTTGTCGAACCACTCGAAGGATGGAAACAAACTGGGAGAGGTCAAACAATGACTTTGCAGCGAAGTCTGATAGCCAATACCAGCAAATTCAGCTCTGCTGGTCATTGCCGTCTCCCTGGATGAGGACATTGAGACGGGCCAAATCAATGGTTTGAGACGTTGTCAGACATGGCCCAGTAGCACCCTCACTGGCTCTCGTAAATCCAAGCCATTACCTTCAGTGCATAGCTCCTTTCCCAATCTCCCGAGGTACTTACGCACAAATTTATCAGCTCCCGCCTCCAATGCGCAGCTACATAGCCCACCTTCCCGAATCATCGGTGAACGCAACTGTGGCAGCTAAAACCACCACAAGTACGTGGTTATCACAGCTGACAATGATGATGATGATGTTGACCCCTTTCCTACGCGCCACCACAATCGGAGTGGTATCAAGAGTCTGCGGATGTCTGTGGAGAATCGGTGTGTATCATCTTGTACTTTATGCAGTGATGCACCCGCCACTTTCCGAAGCTGACCTTGTCAGACTGCTAGGACTGGTTGGCCTGCGTTCACGTGACATTTGAGCTAGGCCCAGCGTGTTGCCAACCTCCAGTCTGTGACCTTTGGTGATATTGTCCGGGGGTGTTTTGTATCTTTGTTGCGTACTCCGGTTGAATGATTCTTTTCTAGATCTGTCGAATCTAAACCGACAGTGGTTGATCTACCGAAAGTAGGTGAACCGAGTGCGGTTTCCGCTGATGCTGTCAACTTCAAACGTAAATGTCCGTATTGATAAATGCGAACAACTGGCCCAGGTTTCTAATCAGTATCTGCCTGACATCGTTAATCGGGTGCGATAACGCTGTGACATGCTTGACCCCCTGGTTCGGCCCGCTTCGGCGACTCCTGGGAACACTTTTATGCCGTCACACTGTGGGGGTTCGGTATCGCACAAACTTGCGGGAGCTGACGGATGACGACCGTACCTCCTTGCCAAGCAACGAGATAGACCAACCATGACTTACAACAGACCCGCCGATCTTACATGCAGCATCATTTCTAGCCCTGTACAAACCGTCTCTGACTCTCCAGCCATGCTCGGGTTCCCAGTTGTTGTACCCTTGTTGATAGCTAAATCCGATTCCGAACCGCACGTGGGTACATAATCGCCGAAAAACTAACAAATGTCACGAACGCATCTTGCTCCAGTACATCAGACTACACAAGATACTTCATCAGGCCGGTTACTTTAGTGTCCAATTAACTGTGTGTTCAATGGTCATTCCATCTCTCCATGTAAGGCAGATCATGTCGATCAACTTCAACGGAACAGTATGTTCTCTCAAGATTCACCGCCGGAGAAAGTTGTGAAGACAGCTTAACTCAGCCGGCCAATTCGCTTGGGGTTTCGAAAAGGCCTGGAGGAGCGCTGCTCAACTACACTGTCCACGGTTTTCCGAAGACAGTGTTCGTCTTAGATATACTTTGCAGATGGACTTCAGTCAGGGCAAAACTTGTCTTGTCCATTGTTCACCTAGAAAAGGTCGGATTAGATGCTTGTACTCTTGGTATAAGACTCACAGTGTTCAGGTTCCTCGGTTTAACCTTCCCTCACTTGTCAGCTTTCTAAGCAATCTCCCCATTCTTGTAGTCCTTGCCGTACAAACGATTCTAGGTTATGATCTCGACTCTACTTTCACGACATAGCCTCCAAAACTATGCTTTTGTTTCACAGAGAACAATGTGATACCGAGCTAGCTCCTGTCTCCGTACCCGTAACCCGAGAGACCACGTCACATGATGCTATCGTGTTGGCTCTGAGGAGATTCAACCTGGAAGTAAGTCACATTTTTATTTTTGAGTGAATCCTATTCCAAACAGTAACACGGTAGCGTGCATTTATGGAGGTGAATATTGAAATCAATAGTTGACAGCTATATCGATCTGTGCCTTCTAGCTGCTCATTGGTGCAAATTTATAACCACCGATTGGTCAATAAACTGTGCAACAAAATGCTTGCTTGGTTGCTGCGACTAGTGCATTCCAATACAGTTTGATTTAACAGCCATCAACTAATTTGGTTTTTCGAGTAGAACATAAGGTTGACGGAAACTCGGGGACTGCGCCTACGTGATGAGCCCGAAGTAGAAGGGCGAAACCGGTCGTGGGCTGTCGAGGGGTTTCCGGCCACCTTATGAGTAGCGCATTACAAAAAGAACATGCTGGTGTTTGAGTGTACACTTATCCATCCAGAACTCGTCTACTGCTGACTACCATTCAAATCAAAAATCAAAGCGTCATCTCAAAAATGCCGAAATTTTATGTCGACAGTTTGCCTGGACACGAAAATATTGATGCACATTCCCGAAACCTTCGTATTTTCTTCAAAAACCACCTTTCATTTTTATCCATCCAGCATTTGGATGCACGCAAATTTCACTTGGTCGAGACCATTTTGGACCGCGGACTTACCGAACGCGCCATGCCCGCGGGCGAACGCATCTGGGCTCTGTTGGAACGAGTCCGGCGAGAATCGGTACGGGCCTGCAGACTTACGCGGTTCTACTTGCAACCAGTGGAAGATCTGACGGGTCCCGGTGTGGCTCTGTTTGTCGGCAACCTGAAGAAGGGTTTGAGCCAACGACTATACGAGCGCATTCTATTGGAAAGACTAGGAGTTGAAAATAGGTGGGATTCAATCGGTAAGTTGGACCATTTTGGTGCTGTTTACACACAGTTCGAATCCCATCGTTCAGCACGCAGCGTGTGTACACAGTCGTCTCTCTGTGGACAGACTATCCCATGGGAATGACCAGAATCGTAAGAAAACACCTGTCCTTTATGACAGGTGGCACATATCCAGGACGAAATTATCAGAGTCACTACCTACGTGACCCTCAGCTGGAGGGACGTGGCGCGGCTCTTGGTGTTCTGTGAGCCTACGCTGGTTCTCCAGAGGGTAGACTCAGTCGATGCAGGTATTATTGAGGTAGTCAACCTCATCATCATCATCATCATCATCACCATCGACAGCATGACATCAGTGTTCAACACCGATACTTCACTGCCGTACCGATGCTTCACTGCCGTAACCACAGACGTTGCCAGACGAACCGCACAGAGGCGACTATCAACAGGTATCCAGTCAAGTAAGGTTACTTCCGCTTGTTGAATTAGCACAATACCAACCCCGGCATATTCCACCGCAGCAGCCAGACAGACTGAGTGTCGAGGCTTTAGGGCTGGTTTGGAGACTCCTGAAGATGTCGGCGCCAAGTGACGAACAGATGCTGCACACAAAACCGATGCATGACGAGCGGAGTCATCAGTCCTAAGTGCTGGGCCTACAAGGAGAGAGTTATTAATGGGGTGGGGAGAGGGGGAAGAAAAAGTATGTGAAGGAGGAAGAAGGCAGACGTCAGCAGTAGTCCGTTTTTGCTTACCTGCCCTGCTGTATGCAGCAAGTAAGGTGCCACGCAACGGCCGATGTGGCATGAAGGTAATGTTAGTTGTGAATGTCATGGTTGTACGAGGGCTGGGATACTGCGAGGGCGCCCACATCTAGACAGGAAAACGATTAGGGTCCTCAATCAAAGCCTTTCGCTCAAAAGCCTAACCGAAACGGTGTTTGGCGGGAAATGCAAATGCATTACCGTTTCTACCGAACAAGTCGCCACACATGTTCCAACCCCCAACCTGGAGGGCCAGGAGACTGTGTTCATCAGACCTCTAACCATTGACCAACCTGGTATGAAAGACTCTGTGAGTGTCGCGGGACACTCTCCAGTATAGCTCAATGGATCGCTGAGGTGCGCAAACCGTCACACCACTGTAGGGTCCAGTCTCTTCGTGACGGAGGTAGTGCAATGTGCCTACTACTCCCAGACGCTTGCAGTAAAATGGGACAAACACTGCCAGGGCCACCGAAAACACGAATAGCATTTTTATCGTCTTGAACCAACTACATCTCGTTCCTTATTCGCACACGCACTTTCTGCTTTTGTAGAAGTCATCTACTATGATTTTGGCAGTCTCGTGCTGGTCTACTCGAACCCCGAACGAGCCGACGAGGCGTACCACATACTGAAGCAAAGCACGTTTGAAGACCGCCCCATTTTGGCCATGATTCTCCCTCGACTGATTGCCGCAAACTTGCCAAACGATGTGCAACCGCTTTTGGTGCTGGTCAACGTCAAATCCGGAGGATGTCAGGTAAGGCTGATTCAGTGTCTTGGGAACACACACAATCGCCTCCTCATATCTCTAGTCAGTTTGTACTACGTGAGGTTTCTGGCAAGGCTTCAGATCATTACATGACAAAAGCTTAGAAACTAGTCGACTACTAACAAAACTTAGCCAGTGATTTTTTCACAAGGGTGCTGAAAACTCTTCTACAACTGAATGTGCTGTACACAGGCCGCCACAAGAAGGGCGAAACCGGTCGTGGGCTGTCGAAGAGTTTTCAGCAACCTTGTGAGTAGTTTCCTTTATGAAAATATACTGCAATATCTTGAATATCGTGCCAACTGAAACATGAGGCAGCCTGTGTGCAGCACATTCACTTGCAGTATATCAGTTGGTTCTCTCGTGAAAACCAAATTGGTTTGCAAATGAGTGCACTTCTCTTAGCCAGTGATCTTTTCCGTTTGAATCCTCTATTCAAGAAGGTCATCATCCGTCAGTGAGCACTACTCACTTCTGTCCTGTCCTTACTTTCCGCAGGGTATCGAATTGATTACATCGTTTCGCAAGCTCCTCAATCCACACCAAGTTTTCAATCTGGACTGCGGGGGTCCATTGCCCGGGTTACATTGCTTTCGGCATCTGAAGCGGTTTAAAATTCTCGTTTGTGGAGGCGATGGCACTGTGGGTTGGGCTTTGTCCTGTCTGGACAATGTTGGTCAGGATGCCGCCTGTCCCACGCCGCCGATGGCAATCCTTCCGATTGGGACTGGAAACGATTTGGCACGCGTTCTTCGTTGGGGTCCCGGTTATACTGGTGGAGAGGAGCCGCTGACAATCTTGCGGTAATTTGTGCTTTTTTTCCAGAAGGCACCCTCGTGACATATGCTTGTTTCTGTTTTCTGAAAAGGACTCGCTTTCAAGAATGGAACAGTTACACTTACTCCAACTGCCGGCTTGTTTTTTTTGAGTTCTTTTAAGCAGCGATAAATCTGCGGAAGCCACAGGAAGTGCGACGTCTGTGTCAGTTGCTATCAGACAGGATCACAAACACTGTTATTCGATAGTTTTTTGTGAGTAGTATCGTATCAGTAGTTTGTTAGTTTTCTATGAAACGACTTGGGCATAGAACAAGCCAATAGAGTGAGGACCAATACCGGTGGTGTGGATTGACGATGAACTGACCAGTGGACTAGAATATAAGATGGTTGATCTTGGGTTTGCTGTATTGATTGTCGTTGTGCGTGCGTGCGTGTGTGTGTCAAGTATCGTGGAATCAAGAACCTCAAGACTGGATCAGAGCACATGCCTTCCACTCGCTTTGGGGTTGTGAAGACCTCCCCGGCACAATGAGAAGAGACATGAATCTGAGGAGAGGCTTCACAAAATGTGAAACGATATGGCGTTACGATGATTTATGGAGAAAGTAATTGCAAAATGGCTCGCTGTCCGGGTGAAAGAGGGTTACTGAAAGACACTTCATCAAACATCCACAACCGAGTGATGAACCGAGGAGACTGGGAGCGGTGAAGTCAGAAAGAAACGTGTCTGTTCTGAGTAAGGATGGGTTAAGGCCGAATATACTCTATCTGCAAATCATGGTTCAATTCAGTCAACTATAAACCGTGTGTCAAAGGCACATTGTTTCCAGCTGCTTCACGGGAATTCGGGAGTGTGGGATGTACAACCATGCCTTAGAGGCGAAGGCATGTTCAGTTTGTTCGGGTAGCTACGCCTTGTAGGCGATGGATTTGATGCACGAGCGCCACTGACCACGCCACTGAACCAGTTCTGTCAATGTCATCAACCATTGGTGATTTGAGTCTTTGACTTTCGGCTGGTCAGTGTTTTAAGTCGTTTGCTACGGGTGTGTGGGATCCACTCAAGTGTTTGTGTACAATTCATTCTACCGAACAAAATGTTCACTAGTAGCCTGATGGCTTTTCAGATGATCACAATTGAGGATAGGGGTCGCCCATCCCTTTCATCTCTGAACCGATTACTTCAACTGCTATTTCATCATACAAGTCTGGTGTGACTGAACTGGAGAATGCGATCCAAGTTCGTGAGATGGACCAAGTGGTTTGAGCGCGAATTCACTGACCGGAAGGTCGGTGGTTCGGACCCGACGTCTGCCTCTCGACTTCCCCTGTCTAGGCTTGGGCAACCTGACAGTATCCCAGCCCTCGTGCTTCCTTCGTGTGGCATGGCAGCTAGGCACCAAAAGAGTGTTGCAGCCGAACGACTTTTTTCCCAGTTCGCCTCCGGATGGCTTGATCACCGACCGAGGTTCTGTGAACTCCTCTTGCTGCTCTGCTGTTGGTAAATGAGTGTGTATTTCTCTAATTTCGTACAATTTGGGTTCAAGTAGAACACAGAGTTGACGGAAACTCAGCGACTGCGCCTACCTGATGAGCTCCAAGAAGGGTTAAACCGGGCTATCGAAGAAATTTCAGCGACCTTTTGAGCAGTGTGTTATGTCTTCGTGCCGCTGTTTGATCGTAAAAACACTCTCCGGCGCAACTGTCTTAATCAGGACTGATCAAGTGAAACTGCGAGAACCAGTTGACTTTCGACCAGCTTGCAAGTGACAGCGTGAACAAAGTTCACTCTCGACTGAGTGAGCAAATATCAATACGTCAAAAATACGGACTGAAATAATCAATAAAATAACTGAACCAATAGCAACACAACCGACAAAAGCAGCAGGTGCGCACGCGCGCACTGAGCTGATTTTTTATGTACGACCATTACAACATACGTGATCCGACAGAAAGATGGAAACTCATGATATGATCAACACAACAGTAGAGTAACCGAACAGGTGGAAGGTTTCCCTTTAGAGAGTGGACATAGAGCGGACAAGTCACATGACCTGAGTAAATGGGCTGTATTAAATTAGTTCGTCCGTCTTGAAGTACACTGATCTCGGAATCTGCTCACAGCGTTCTCATTTACCAGAACACTGTTAACCTGTGCACAGTACAAGCATGTGGTACCCAGATAATGCAGTTCTGTCCGAGTTTTACCCAACACCGCCCACTCATCGCTGAAACGATCAATAGTCCAGCAGTAGCTGACGTGATTTTTCCGCTGATCCACTCTTCTTCTATCAGAGTCACACCTTAATTTGAACAAGCCAGAATGGGTGACCTCACGTCCCTGTGAACCGTCCCGCAGAAAAAAAGATGAAAGTTTCTTTTGTCCAGTAGTGTACAGTAAAACAATTCCTAGTTTTTTTGACGGGGTGTTTGTATTACTAAGAGCCCATAGGTGACTGAACTTAGTCACATGAGAGGTATAAGCTCATATTGGCCCTCTTTCGTTCTGCGTTTTGCTATCTACCCTTTTACACAAGACTCACAATTTGATATAACGGTTTTCTTAATAGTGGCGACGAGGATGCGATTCAAGCAAAATCACCTGGCTAACAGATTTGTTAGCTGATCTGCTTGTGTTTCGGTATTTTGCTTACTTCGATGTAAACATACCTCGGTCGAAGAGGGATCTCCCAACGTGAATGAACGCAATATTCGTTTGTAACTTGTTAGGTTAGGCGAATATTGATCTGTAGATACCTCAGTCTCGCTAGGATTGCCCGTCACAAGATCAGAACAATGGGCACCGATCTGGGGCTACCTGAGTTGAACATCCCGCCTAGTCTCACCTTCGCATTTTTATTCTTCTACAAAATGAAACAGTGACGTTGTGGAAGCTGAGAAAATCCGTCTGGATCGTTGGACAGTGGTCATCAAACCGGACGAGGCGGAAAAAGATGCCCAAAAGAAACAATTGCAAATCCAAGCGAATGCTGCCAATACGAATGAGGACTCGAGTCGGATATTTGTGATGAACAACTACTTTGGGTTGGGCATTGACGCAGATCTGAACTTGGACTTTCATATGGCGCGAGAAGAGAACCCAGCCAAGTTCAATAGCCGGTAAGTCGGGGTGTTCGCCTTATTTTTTTTCCAAAGAGCTGCGCTGAACGATTCGTCAAGTTTGGCAGTTTACTCTCAGGAGTCGCCTAACCAAACGAGGAGACATCGTGATCAACCGCACACTGATGGTGTCTCCTCTTTTGACGATTGAACGTTGGTAGGTTAAATGTCAAGTCTGTCTGGATACCAGTGAAAGGAAGAACGCCCTCGCTGAGGAGTCATTTATTAGAAAACGCCAACTGAACAGTGACAGACTATCGGACAGCGAAGCAAAATTCTCATATGCATCTTATTTACAAAAACTGAACATGCATCTTCTCTTTGAACGCGTCTTCCTGAAATTTTCTGGATATTCATTGACTGTTGCTCAAATCCAGTCAATGCTACAAAGCGATTCCAAACGTTCCTTAATAGATCTCACTTTTCAAGAGACGCAAAGTGGAGTTACGAGGTAACATACTACTCATATGCCTCATCAATCAGTAGTATCACCATTACACTAGTATTTCAGTATATTGCCGGCTGTGTTCACCATTTTCTTCGCATCTACACACTCCGATGACAATCTAATGTATCACGCAGAAATGTATCACGCTTTGGCATTCCTTCGACCCATCACGTGACTGAAAGCGAACCCGTGCCTCGATTTTCTATTGACCGAGCCAACATAGTTCGATCGACCCAAACAAGCCAATCAAGATGTGGGTCAATCCCAATCAAATACATTCGAACATCTAATGAAGCGCAACGCACATACACTGATAAAAACTCCTAGCTCTTCACTAATGAACTTCGATTTTTCTGAATTACGTCAACTCCCTCTTTCGATCGATTTCCGGCGACGCGACACGCTCCTTCACGCGAAGATAGTTCATCAATGGCCACAATCCACTGATTCATCCTTGTTGATCTATCATCGAGGATTTCTGTTTCTCATTGTGAAGTGTACTTTTATGATAACTCATTACCTTTTTTTCTCAGGAGAGTTCTGAGCGCTAGTTTTTGTCATTGTGATTCCGAGATTCCAGTTTGCCATCAGTTTTAGTCGAAACATATAGTGATAAAAGAGAATCATCTGTGTGAAGTCAACTTCAAAGATGGTGTTGGAGATTGCGTTACTTTTTGAAACAGTCACGCCACAGGTGTTTTTCCGACCACAGTTAATCCCACATCCCATATAATCTGTCGGTCATGTTCGGACTGCACTCATCCCGACGACAGAATTCGGTGAAAAAGCCTTCTACGACAGTGAACTCGCACACAAGACAGTCTGACACCCTGTGTCGACCTCTACATCCGGAAAGCTAACAAGGCCACAATCCGAACGGCCTCCTGACTTTGTCAGTCACACTGGTCACGTGTGACATTTTGTGGCCAATACACTCGCACGAGATAACGATTGTCACGCAGCGATTCAAAGTGTAACGGCGATACTACTGATGGGAGGCATGCGAGTAGTGTGTGTTGTTCTTGAAAAAGGGAAATCTGTTGCGGAATTTGTGGCGTCGCTTTGTAGCATTTGCTTGGATTTGAGCAATAAATGATTGGAATCAATGAATATCCAGGAAAGTTCAAGAAGTCGCGTTCAGGAGAAGATGGGTGTCCAGTTTTTGTAAACAAGATGCAAGTAAGAGTTTTGCTTCCCTGTCCAATGGTCTGCAACCGGTCAGTTGGTATTTACCAATAAATAACTCCGCAGCGAAGGCCTCCTTCCTTTCAACAGGTCTCCGACGATCGTGGAACAACAACCCAGTCTGACTGCCGTGGCGTTGAAAAATGACGACTGCCGTGTAACCGTGACCTCCCAGGAACGCTTGACAAAAGGTTCCAGTCATCGAGGCCAGGCATAAAGTGACAGTAATTGAGGGCCATTTATGACAGTGGATTGATTAACCAGTGTACTTGCACCTTGGTCGACACGGCGACGGATACCTGGAGTAGGATGAGTTGAGACTTAGAATTCGGCCAGGTGGCACTGACAGACTGACCTTCAGCTACCAATGAAAGTCCGCTACCGTCTGACGGTCTCGATAGTTGTAACAACTGTGCTGACCCTAATTAGGGCGAATTGTGAAGTAGACATGCAGAGTGGGTTCATGTTTGACACCTTAAGTTGTTGGAGCGTGTGAATTCAAACAGAGAAAAGCGCCGAGTTTGATGTCTAGACGCTATGGTACAAGTTGAGAGGAGTTTCTCCTTTGTCCCCACTGGCACACTGTAAAGGAATGACGCAAACTACGCTCAACCTGAGGAAAAAATTGATGCTAAAGTCCTTCACAATTCAAGGAGAACCACTGGAGATTGTGGAAAACTTTGCATCCCTCCGTAGTTGTATTGGCTCTGACGGAAGTGTGTCTGATGAAGTCAGTGCAAGAATCTCAAAGGCTCGAATCACGTTTGCTAATTTGCGTCACTTGTGGCGTCAAAAAGGCATCTCACTGGATTTTAAGGGTCGTGTGTACCAGGCTACAGTAAGGGCTGTGTTGTTGTATGGGTGCGAGACATGGCCTATGCGGACAGGGGATGTGAGGTGATTCAGGTTTTCGACCGCCGATGCCTCAGAAATTTGGCTGGTTTTGAATGGCAGCAGTTTGTTAGTAACGACGTGATTAGATAACGGGTATCTGGTTGTTCTACAGGCATCCCAATCCGGGAAAACATCCGGCATCATCGACTGCGACGGCTCGGTTATGTGCTACGCATGCCGTGTGGAAAACTTTACGTACCTCGGTAGTTGTATTAGCTCTGACGGAAGTGTGTCTGATGAAGTCAGTGCAAGAATCTCAAAGGCTCGAATCACGTTTGCTAATTTGCGTCACTTGTGGCGTCAAAAAGGCATCTCACTGGATTTTAAGGGTCGTGTGTACCAGGCTACAGTAAGGGCTGTGTTGTTGTATGGGTGCGAGACATGGCCTATGCGGACAGGGGATGTGAGGTGATTCAGGTTTTCGACCGCCGATGCCTCAGAAATTTGGCTGGTTTTGAATGGCAGCAGTGTGTTAGTAACGACGTGATTAGATAACGGGTATCTGGTTGTTCATCTACTTATGGATATATATATATGTATATATATAATTGTATTAAAAACCCTACAGAGAAGAGAATAGAAAAAGAGTGGGGGAGAGAGAGGACCTAGTGCTGGCCCTATGTCAAGCATTCTGAGGTGCCCACACTTCTAGCCGCTCAATCAATCATTCCCATCCAAGGAATGATTCTGACCCTCAGGAAAGATAGTAACGATCCACCTGGCTCGAAATGTCCATGATTCGAACTGTACTCCAATATCTCGACTGATTTTGTCTAGACTTGGGCAACCTGGCAGTATCTCAACCGCGGTGTTTCACTAGGATACCACTGAATAGAAGAAGGCCTTCTATGCGGAGTTATTTATTAGAAAATTCCAACTGACCAGCTACAGACTATCGGACAGGGGAGCAGAACTCTCATATGCATCTTATTTACAAAAACTGAACACCCATCTCCTCTTGAACGCGTCTTCCCGAATTTTCCTGGATATTCATTGACCGTTGCTCAAATGCAAGCAAATGCTACAAAGCGACTCCACAAATTCCGCAACAGATCTCACTTTTCAAGAGACCCCATGCAAATTTACAAGAAGAAAACATACTACTCGCATGCCTCCCCCGTCAGTAGTATCACCGTTACACCATGATAGCTAGGCGTTGAAAGGGCGCTGCAACTGAACGCTTACGTTAGGTTACCATTCCACCGAGAATGGAGGCACTCAGTGGGTTTTCGGATGATGGAAGAATGCCGAATCTTTGTCTCATCACCGACGTCCGTGTTAATAACTGTTCAGACAACCGTGATGTTGATATCGTTTAAGTGAACTCCAAAGCTGTTCGCTTCCTAATCTCTGTGGTCTCTCACACGTCCGATCACGTAGATAACGATTTAGACGCGTTGCAACTTACATGTACTTTTTGAAAGTTAGTCAGCTCGCCGTTGATCTGCACTGCCGTACAACCATAAAGTTCGTTTAGTTATATATATATATATATATATATATATATATATAATTGTATTAAAAACCCTACAGAGAAGAGAATAGAAAAAGAGTGGGTGAGGGAGAGGACCTAGTGCTGGCCCTATGTCAAGCATTCTGAGGTGCCCACACTTCTAGCCGCTCAATCAATCATTCCCATCCAAGGAATGATTCTGACCCTCAGGAAAGATAGTAACGATCCACCTGGCTCGAAATGTCCATGATTCGAACTGTACTCCAATATCTCGACTGATTTTGTCTAGACTTGGGCAACCTGGCAGTATCTCAACCGCGGTGTTTCACTAGGATACCACTGAATAGAAGAAGGCCTTCTATGCGGAGTTATTTATTAGAAAATTCCAACTGACCAGCTACAGACTATCGGACAGGGGAGCAGAACTCTCATATGCATCTTATTTACAAAAACTGAACACCCATCTCCTCTTGGACGCGTCTTCCCGAATTTTCCTGGATATTCATTGACCGTTGCTCAAATGCAAGCAAATGCTACAAAGCGACTCCACAAATTCCGCAACAGATCTCACTTTTCAAGAGACCCCATGCAAATTTACAAGAAGAAAACATACTACTCGCATGCCTCCCCCGTCAGTAGTATCACCGTTACACCATGATAGCTAGGCGTTGAAAGGGCGCTGCAACTGAACGCTTACGTTAGGTTACCATTCCACCGAGAATGGAGGCACTCAGTGGGTTTTCGGATGATGGAAGAATGCCGAATCTTTGTCTCATCACCGACGTCCGTGTTAATAACTGTTCAGACAACCGTGATGTTGATATCGTTTAAGTGAACTCCAAAGCTGTTCGCTTCCTAATCTCTGTGGTCTCTCACACGTCCGATCACGTAGATAACGATTTAGACGCGTTGCAACTTACATGTACTTTTTGAAAGTTAGTCAGCTCGCCGTTGATCTGTTCCCCGGGCTTGGCAATTGACCTGAAGACCTTTCGTCGCCGGACATCGAAAGGAGCTGTGTGTAATGAAACAGACTTCTCGAGTACGTTTCGAATCAACACGAATTCGTGTGGCGTTGGTGGCTCAGTTCTACAAGCCCGGTTATGAACCGAGATACGGCTGCTAAGGTTTGACCCTAGATCAATCTACTTTGCGGTGTATGCACAGCAGCCTGGGATGGTGAAAGCAATGTCTTGACATAGCTTTCGTTTGATTCAACATTAAGGACTTTACTTTTAGCTGGTTGCGGGATTTTTAGAATTCGTGTCCACCGTTTTACTGGTGAGTCCACACCTGAAAATGCAAGCACCTGACTCGAGAGTGGGTCACTCGATTGAGAAAACCAGGGCCTTTGCTGAGTCATCGTTCGAGGTCTCGGGCTGATCTAGCACATCGGTAAAGCTTGGATGGGTTCACCTTTCCACACGTGAAAATTCAAGCGCCTCCCGTGTACGTTGTTGGCCTATCGCTCGTCTCGGATGTCAACTGTCCAGGGTTCGAGCCCCAGCACGGCCGGGGATGTGCACTGCTGATGATGGTGAAACACGTGAGCACGTTTGTATTGCGTATAAATCGTACAAACGCGCGCTTTTGTAGATTTTCGTATTCTAACAAAAAATGTTTATGCATTTGAAGCAAAAGAAAAGTACAAAACAATACAGCAGTTGCACTGTTCTCATCAAGCATCGACTAACGGGAAAGATGGGTAGTGGCTTGTAAACTGTTCGATTGAGCCGCGGTACTGAAATAGTGGTAAGTAGTATTCGAAGAATTCATGTTCTTTTCTCCAGAACTTGTGTATATTTTGAGAGGCTTATGCTACAACACACTCACTGGAGATGCAGGCCGAACGAAGATGACTGAGAACTTGCTGAAGACCCCCCCCCAGAAGGCGGCATCCCTCTTTCGCGAGTCTGATTCTGTTCACGCGTATGAACCGATTGTTCCGTACTTCACCAGTGCTTTCCCACCCGCTTACTCTCTATGGAGTGGTTTGCAATTTGAAAAGTCGGTTGAGGACACAAGCGACAAGGACGCCTGTCGAGGGAGAATTCCGGTAACCTAGCTCTGAATGTTCTCGCTGTCAGCCTAAGTAGGTTTAATGTGACAGGGTGCACCGTACATTCAAATGAACTGAAGTCACGCAGAATTTCTGTCAACTACGGATTGTACTAGTTCCAACTACTTTGCACAGCACTTTTTGATTGAGAAACCATATTTTGTTTTCATGAGGGAAACTACTCGCAAGGTTGCTAAAGCTCTTCTGTGCCACGCGGTGATTGCCTCATGTTTTGTTTGGCACGCTTTCGGAGTATTCAGGACAGCATCCATTCGAGACGCCTGAAGAAGGGCAAAGTCGGTCGTGGACTTGTGAGTAGTCTTCGAAAAATACACTCATTTGCAAATCAATTTGGTTTACACGGGAGACTTAACTGAACCTCTCGTTTATGATATTCTACAACTGAATGTGCTGCACACAGGCCTCTTGGTGTTTCGGTTGGCACGATATTTGGGATATGGCAGGATATTTTCACGAAGGAAACTACTCACAAGGTTGCTGAAAACTCTTCGACAGCCCACGGCCAGTTTCACCCTTCTTGTGGTGACCTGTGTGCAGCACATTCAGTTGCCTGGAGACATCATCAACGAGAGTTTCAGTTGAGTCTCTCGTGAAAACCAAATTGATTTGCAAGTGAGTGCATTTCTCATATTTTCTTTTCTTTTTTTGGAATCCACTATGAGCCCACTGAATTTCCGCTGCAGGATACACAATAAAAGCGTCTATCTGAAAATGGGCCTCCGAAAGATGGTCAACCGAACCAAATGCAGAGATTTGCACCAGAATATCTGCGTTGAAGTCGATGGACGCCAACTGGATCTGCCCCCACTCGAAGGCATCATCATCCTGAACATCCTCTCTTGGGGTGCTGGCGCGAACCCATGGGGTGTGGAAAAGGACGATGCATTCTCCGTTCCAACTCACTATGACGGTCAGCTCGAGGTGGTTGGTGTCACTGGGGTCGTGCACCTCGGACAAATCTTCTCCGGTCTACGAACTGGGACTCGATTGGCTCAAGGACGGCATGTAAGTAGTATGTGGTGTAAGTAGTGTGTTTCGGTTTTGAGGGCACACGTTTTCACAAATTGGGGGTCATGTTGCTGGGAGGGAGTTTCCTTTTTATCCTTAAACGGCTTAGAGGCTCATTCACTGTGGTCTGATTTTTGTTTTCGTGATTTTCATTCCAGATTCGCATTACGATCAAGACGGAAATTCCGGTACAAGTGGATGGAGAACCGTGGATTCAGCCCCCCGGACAGATTATTGTGCTACGATCGGCGCTGAAGGTAGGCTGTACCGAGTACTTTTGGATCCTCGTCTACCACCCTTTCTGGAAAATAATCTTGGTTAACGCGTCGCGAAGAGTTACACTTGACCATATGTACCCCAAACCAACTTCTTACTCGGTAGCGGCTGTAGGAGCTTAAATCACATTTATACTTTTTTTTACAAATAATAGGACACAATCGCTTGCTCATTTAGCACGTAAAGTTACTCAGAATGTCGCTGCAAACTCTTTGCCAGCACACCGTCGGTCATGTGGGTTCCTCAGTTAGGCGCGGTTCCGGGTTTCTGTCGCTCTTACGTTCCAAATTGTGCGAAATTCAGGAGCTACACTCATTGGCACACTAGTTCGGTATTTTGACGGGAACTTTAGTTAATCCCAGTCGAATCTTTCATTCATGACTCTTCAGGTGATGCGCTGCTCAAAGGACGCCTTTTGTTGCAGTTTCATAAACGACTGATTCAAATTGAATTCAGTTGCCTCCCCCCCCCTCAGAACCAAATTACCGACCAGGGTTTGTAGGTTCGCTTGCTCATTTAGCACGTAAAGTTACTCAGAATGTCGCTGCAAACTCTTTGCCAGCACACCGTCGGTCATGTGGGTTCCTCAGTTAGGCGCGGTTCCGGGTTTCTGTCGCTCTTACGTTCCAAATTGTGCGAAATTCAGGAGCTACACTCATTGGCACACTAGTTCGGTATTTTGACGGGAACTTTAGTTAATCCCAGTCGAATCTTTCATTCATGACTCTTCAGGTGATGCGCTGCTCAAAGGACGCCTTTTGTTGCAGTTTCATAAACGACTGATTCAAATTGAATTCAGTTGCCTCCCCCCCCCCTCAGAACCAAATTACCGACCAGGTGTTTGTAGGTGGGTTTTTGTTCATCTAACTCACTCCCAACACCACGAAGGATGGTATTCCGCCACGCTCAACAAAAAAAACCTCGATTCGCCTTTCGTTCCACGAGACCAGAAAACTCGGAGCCAGAAAGCACAAGTTGATGAAACCGTCTTGGTGGCATGGATGCGTCTGAATTTTTATCCAAGTAACACCGTGAAACGACAAGTGAGACATTCGGGGTATCCTGATCAAATCTGTGTACCTGGAGTTTGTTTACCTTAGTTACCCTGTGTTCGAATTCCATCGCCCGCCTAATCACAGTTACGGTCCCTCAGGAGGGAACCCATTGGGATGATCGTTGAACAAACGGATCTGTCGTCACTTTGGTGTATTCCTTTGCTCAAACCAAATGAAAGCGTTACCTGTCGCTCCAAAATCGCCGCTGATAGCCGGTGTCTACCGTGCAGAAGCTTGAAGGAGATGATATCCTAACTCATGGTTCGCTTGCCAACGGTGACAAACTGCTCCATATCGTAGTCAACCCTGCGAACTGTCCAATACCTACATCTAGCAGACGTCCTGAACTTAGTCCGGGACCGCAAAGTCCACACATTCTTTTTATTGAAGCCATTTTCGACCGAAAGTGGTGTGGTACATCTGAAATGGAAATTAATCACACTATGTTGACAACGGAATGTCAGTGGTATGCATTGGGTGAGCAAACGCACAATGTGCCTGCCTGGCCTCGAAGTAAATCTTGGCAGACCATTTTGTCAAACTGTTCTTTCTCCCAGTCGGCAGTATGTTTGCTGCCAAAACCGCAGGATGTCTCTGGTAGTGAACGAGGCTGTTGGTCGGATCACTTGGTTTACTTCTTTGATGGATTTCGGATGGCTTCAATGGCACGTGTCCGCTCGAAAGTTTGTCGCTTAACTCGGCTTGATGCACACTATGATTTACGTTAGCAACTCTTTCGGCTTATAGGCGATCTTCGATAACAAAGCCCCTCTCCATTCTGTTCACTGATTAGTATATCTAGCATATTTCAACTCATCTGCTATCCCTGGTCAATCGAGGCCAATGGATGAGAGCCCCTGGAACCCATGGAAATATATTTATTTTTGTACTACTGCCATGAATCGAGTAGTAATAACTAATCAGTCAAGTGGACAGCAAGCTAGCATGTTCTGCAAGGTCGCGTATTTCACCAGGCTATCATGTAAGAGAAACTCGGGTTCAATGTTTTCCTGTATATAATGGACTAACTGGAATGATCGCGCCAGGAAAAGGGAAGGACTTTTTGAACGAGATTGAAATGGATAAAACTTCTTCGATCCATTTAGTAGGCCACAAGTAATTGATGAACTCTTACTTGGTGCGGTAATTATTTCGCGGTGCTTCGGTCTAAAAACTATACCGCTCCGATCGATAAGATTTTGATAGCAGAGCGTTCCGTCAACTTAGCGGTGAAAACCTTTGGGCAGAGAATGGGTGATGGGCTGTGAGCTGTTGGTAATAATTTCTGACTACTTACTTCAATTTGTCAGTAGTTCATGTGCGCGCTGGTTTTTGCCTCGGGCTATATCTTGGGATCGCCTCAAAACTCAAGAATACTTTCTACTCAAATTCAATCGTACAGAGAGCTCTCGATCACATACAGTGTGTGTGACCAAATCGTCCGCATTCCCCTTCTTCCAACCCGAGTGCGCACTTTGATAGTTCATTCGCGTTTAGAGCACAACCCATTAATAAATTATTTTGCTCTCATAAGTTTGATTACTTCCCCTAACTGTGCCGAATACTCTCTTGATTCGTCTTTTTGTTTGACCTTGAGGGTAACATGTAATTTCTCATCACGTGTTCGTTTATTCCGCCTGATTTGGATACATGTTACTAAATTCCACAAGCCATCGTCTGGGGCCTGACAACAGTTTTATCAATTATGGTGTGTGTGTGTGTGAGTATTTCCGAATAAACTGCGAGGTCACAGTGAATTCGGTTTCCCAGCATCATTCTAACACTTTTCTTTTTTTGGAATCCACTATGAGCCCACTGAATTTCCGCTGCAGGATACACAATAAAAGCGTCTATCTGAAAATGGGCCTCCGAAAGATGGTCAACCGAACCAAATGCAGAGATTTGCACCAGAATATCTGCGTTGAAGTCGATGGACGCCAACTGGATCTGCCCCCACTCGAAGGCATCATCATCCTGAACATCCTCTCTTGGGGTGCTGGCGCGAACCCATGGGGTGTGGAAAAGGACGATGCATTCTCCGTTCCAACTCACTATGACGGTCAGCTCGAGGTGGTTGGTGTCACTGGGGTCGTGCACCTCGGACAAATCTTCTCCGGTCTACGAACTGGGACTCGATTGGCTCAAGGACGGCATGTAAGTAGTATGTGGTGTAAGTAGTGTGTTTCGGTTTTGAGGGCACACGTTTTCACAAATTGGGGGTCATGTTGCTGGGAGGGAGTTTCCTTTTTATCCTTAAACGGCTTAGAGGCTCATTCACTGTGGTCTGATTTTTGTTTTCGTGATTTTCATTCCAGATTCGCATTACGATCAAGACGGAAATTCCGGTACAAGTGGATGGAGAACCGTGGATTCAGCCCCCCGGACAGATTATTGTGCTACGATCGGCGCTGAAGGTAGGCTGTACCGAGTACTTTTGGATCCTCGTCTACCACCCTTTCTGGAAAATAATCTTGGTTAACGCGTCGCGAAGAGTTACACTTGACCATATGTACCCCAAACCAACTTCTTACTCGGTAGCGGCTGTAGGAGCTTAAATCACATTTATACTTTTTTTACAAATAATAGGACACAATCGCTTGCTCATTTAGCACGTAAAGTTACTCAGAATGTCGCTGCAAACTCTTTGCCAGCACACCGTCGGTCATGTGGGTTCCTCAGTTAGGCGCGGTTCCGGGTTTCTGTCGCTCTTACGTTCCAAATTGTGCGAAATTCAGGAGCTACACTCATTGGCACACTAGTTCGGTATTTTGACGGGAACTTTAGTTAATCCCAGTCGAATCTTTCATTCATGACTCTTCAGGTGATGCGCTGCTCAAAGGACGCCTTTTGTTGCAGTTTCATAAACGACTGATTCAAATTGAATTCAGTTGCCTCCCCCCCCCCTCAGAACCAAATTACCGACCAGGTGTTTGTAGGTGGGTTTTTGTTCATCTAACTCACTCCCAACACCACGAAGGATGGTATTCCGCCACGCTCAACAAAAAAAACCTCGATTCGCCTTTCGTTCCACGAGACCAGAAAACTCGGAGCCAGAAAGCACAAGTTGATGAAACCGTCTTGGTGGCATGGATGCGTCTGAATTTTTATCCAAGTAACACCGTGAAACGACAAGTGAGACATTCGGGGTATCCTGATCAAATCTGTGTACCTGGAGTTTGTTTACCTTAGTTACCCTGTGTTCGAATTCCATCGCCCGCCTAATCACAGTTACGGTCCCTCAGGAGGGAACCCATTGGGATGATCGTTGAACAAACGGATCTGTCGTCACTTTGGTGTATTCCTTTGCTCAAACCAAATGAAAGCGTTACCTGTCGCTCCAAAATCGCCGCTGATAGCCGGTGTCTACCGTGCAGAAGCTTGAAGGAGATGATATCCTAACTCATGGTTCGCTTGCCAACGGTGACAAACTGCTCCATATCGTAGTCAACCCTGCGAACTGTCCAATACCTACATCTAGCAGACGTCCTGAACTTAGTCCGGGACCGCAAAGTCCACACATTCTTTTTATTGAAGCCATTTTCGACCGAAAGTGGTGTGGTACATCTGAAATGGAAATTAATCACACTATGTTGACAACGGAATGTCAGTGGTATGCATTGGGTGAGCAAACGCACAATGTGCCTGCCTGGCCTCGAAGTAAATCTTGGCAGACCATTTTGTCAAACTGTTCTTTCTCCCAGTCGGCAGTATGTTTGCTGCCAAAACCGCAGGATGTCTCTGGTAGTGAACGAGGCTGTTGGTCGGATCACTTGGTTTACTTCTTTGATGGATTTCGGATGGCTTCAATGGCACGTGTCCGCTCGAAAGTTTGTCGCTTAACTCGGCTTGATGCACACTATGATTTACGTTAGCAACTCTTTCGGCTTATAGGCGATCTTCGATAACAAAGCCCCTCTCCATTCTGTTCACTGATTAGTATATCTAGCATATTTCAACTCATCTGCTATCCCTGGTCAATCGAGGCCAATGGATGAGAGCCCCTGGAACCCATGGAAATATATTTATTTTTGTACTACTGCCATGAATCGAGTAGTAATAACTAATCAGTCAAGTGGACAGCAAGCTAGCATGTTCTGCAAGGTCGCGTATTTCACCAGGCTATCATGTAAGAGAAACTCGGGTTCAATGTTTTCCTGTATATAATGGACTAACTGGAATGATCGCGCCAGGAAAAGGGAAGGACTTTTTGAACGAGATTGAAATGGATAAAACTTCTTCGATCCATTTAGTAGGCCACAAGTAATTGATGAACTCTTACTTGGTGCGGTAATTATTTCGCGGTGCTTCGGTCTAAAAACTATACCGCTCCGATCGATAAGATTTTGATAGCAGAGCGTTCCGTCAACTTAGCGGTGAAAACCTTTGGGCAGAGAATGGGTGATGGGCTGTGAGCTGTTGGTAATAATTTCTGACTACTTACTTCAATTTGTCAGTAGTTCATGTGCGCGCTGGTTTTTGCCTCGGGCTATATCTTGGGATCGCCTCAAAACTCAAGAATACTTTCTACTCAAATTCAATCGTACAGAGAGCTCTCGATCACATACAGTGTGTGTGACCAAATCGTCCGCATTCCCCTTCTTCCAACCCGAGTGCGCACTTTGATAGTTCATTCGCGTTTAGAGCACAACCCATTAATAAATTATTTTGCTCTCATAAGTTTGATTACCTAACTTAACTGTGCCGAATACTCTCTTGATTCGTCTTTTTGTTTGACCTTGAGGGTAACATGTAATTTCTCATCACGTGTTCGTTCGCCTGATTTCACACACTCGCAGAATTACAGCTTCCATACACATCCTCCGAGCAGGGGGGCTTTTATTGTTGGTCGGCTTTTTCTAGCTATTGTCCATAGAACTCCGAGGACCCATTCTGTTCAAAGAAACGGTTCCATTTTGTTATCGAAATCACTGAAAAGCCCTCTACAAAGGCGTTTTGCGATCTTGCCACATAAACTCGTCGTGACCATCGGATTGCTGGCAACTTTTCTGCACCGTTCTTATGAAGACAATCCGGTAATCCTTTTCATTTGTGTACTGTAAAAATGGTATTTTGCTGATTACATGATACCTCCGCTTCCGTGTTCGGACGAGTGCCTTTCCTTGGTCACACACATCTCGACGAAGATTTTTAGATTTTTTTAGTCTCTAAACCTGATGGATGTTTTGAATGATCTGTCATCCACATTTATCGATTTTTTCACCGTAAACTCTTCGCTCATAGGCAACAATGCTGAAGAAACGGAAGCGCCGAAAGGTGAATCGCCGACATACGGAACCCGGGCTCGGAGGCCCCGGAAGTCCAAATTCTGAAGGACGAGGCAGTACTCTGGACGACCCAGATCCCACGGAAATTCCCGTTAGCAGCATTTTCGGAGCTAGCGGTCCACCGAAACAAGAGTTTCCATCCCCTTCCGGTGTCACTGTTGGTATTCTGAAAGCGTCGAGCGCTCTCCCTGTTTTTGCGCCGGAGGCATCCCAGAGCATAGAATCGGTCAGCGTACAAACGAAGAGGAGAGATTTAATCCCTGATCCGCTGGTCATCGCTCACCCAACAAAACCTCCCCTAGTTCCCATGCCGTCCGATCCCTTCGCAGCCACATCCAATCTATTTGTTGAGAGTCAATCTCATCTTCTGTCGGCGGTGACCTACACGAGTGAACCGCATATTGACCAGACAACCTCGCGTGATCTGGAACTATGCAGTACACATGTGGCACATTCCGATTTGCGGCACGATCAGGGACATATCGCAGGTCAAGCCGATTCGATTTTTAGCTCCAGTGAGCCCGAATCTCCTCTAGACAAAGAACCCAAAAGTTGATTGATCAATGTGAGTGAGTGAGTGATTGTGCGCAACTGTCATCACATGTCAGGTGTAACTGCATTTTATTCAAAGCACCACAATTAAGTTAGTTTGCTGGTGTAAACAATCAGAGAGGTGTGCTTGACGTTTATGAACGTCCTGAAAAGTTGTAATGACGAAATGTAGTCTCGTGCTAGTGATGCTACAAGACATTGAACTTTCATCTTCAACCGCTCAAAGTTCAGTCTGTGATTGCCAACTCAACTTGGTTCTTCCGTCCTGGCACAATTATTCTGGCAAGAGGGGGGAGCAATGAAATCGAGTTTCGTTCATTTTGGAGCTCATCAACAGTGCATATCGTTGGTCGTGCCGATGTTTGAACTCCTGACATCTGACATCCGAGTGAGCGTGTTTCCCCTTCTCCATCAGTGCGCGTTAGACAAATCTGAGTTACCACGTCTGAACAGGCAATGGTGTTCACGCTTGAACGGTGTGATTGATTTGCCCGGGGGCCGCTTATATTCCGTAGTCTTTCTTGACTGGAACTTGTCGTTTTCACGAGTTAATTCGATGCTTCAGAGTTACTGGGCCCGCTGGCTACTTATTACTTTGCAATGCGTCTTCAGTGTAAGGTTGTAAGTTCGAGATCCTTGGAGTTTCGTGAGACGCGCACTGCCAATGATTCCAGCTTTTCAGCTTAGGTCGGCCCCACAAACAAGATGAAACATCCACGAGAAGAATGATATGATCGATCGAACGCCCTTTACTTGATCACGTGATTACCAAATTCTGGTCATCTCTTTGGGCAACCGGTGTCTCTGTTGCAGAATGTTCCAGGGCACAGCCATCCGATTTGTAACTGTCGCAATAATCAGAAAACAAAACCGTGAACTGACATTATTTATAGGGTTTTTGAAAACCCTTCAACAGTCCGGTTCCCCATTCTTGGGGTTCATCAGGTAGGTGTGGTCCCCGAGTTTCTAACAATCTTGTGTTCTGCTTGAACCTATCAGATTTCGCCCATCTAATGGGTCTCAACGAGAGAAAAACTGGTCGTGGGCTATCGAAGAGTTCTGAGGAACCCTCTGAATAGTGTCCAGACGTCTGGACAACAACGTACTGGGCTATCTGGAAAGTCGTACGAACTGAACATGAGGGGGCGGACCATCATGAACGGGAAATTCAGTTTGCTTCCGTTGATTTTCCTGTCAAATCTAAATTTGTGTGGATATGATAGTGTTTGTTGATTGTGCATTGGACGTTAAACAGGGTGACCAGATACGAGTAAAGGCGTACATAACTGCAGAATTTTCCATCCACAAACGATACCAGCGACAATGGAGAAAGACCTCGCACCAGCCTGCTACGAGCGGACATCCGAGATGACTGCATCTCCAAGTATCCAAAGAAACTGCAGAACTGTGGAAGTGGATACAGGTTCATCAGCGTTTACCGGCCTTAAGTCCCGGCAATTAAGTTACACATCTCACCAGTCCCATCCGAAATGGTGACCAGACGTGACAGGCTGATGAACCCTCAGTTTCAGATTAGTATGTCATTCTTGTTTCCGATTGTCTTCCATTTTAGCACGTCTATTTTATGTCCTTTCTTAGAGAAGAAATGAAAATCCAACATTCCGCGACCTATTGTCGGGTTCGTGACAGCCTCCACTTGGACTGCGTCCACAAAAGCTCACATCGCCACTCGTTGCACCAGCTCACTTCCCCACAAACCCCGACTCCGTCTATATCCACCAAATGGACGAATCTTGGCTTATCAATGTAGGCATTTGTCCTTTCACTGTTGTCCTTGTCTGTTTTCGTTTTGCTTTTGGTTCTCCCTCTACGATCATGACAAATAAATCAGTTCCCGGGGACGACAATGATGAATACAATATCCCGCGTACGCGGCACCAATCAAATTTCGAAAGGAACTGTACTACTTTTTGCGGCATTCAGTTGATGTATGTCTGTGTGTGTGTGAGAATGTTGAACAATCCATTCTGACGTCATCAGCTGCCTCATCACCTTTTCTGTATCTTCTAGAGTCCTTCCTCCCCGTCGCTCTAATCATGTGACCGACTATGACATGAATCTAACCAAGTGGGCTTAGCTCTTTTACGTTCTTCTACCACCCCGTCCCCTCCAACCATATATTATTTTTGTACAGTTTTTCGCCTGCCACGGAGTTGTACCGCAGTTTTCCCTACCTCCTGATTCTGACTTGATTTGATTTCAAATGCCTCATGTTGCCTGATTGCTCGTTTATGGGAATCAACTGTTGTGCTACAACCAATTCGCTGAGGAAAAAATGCCCTGTGTGCGGGCTAGATTCACGCCTTCCATGACGTTCATATTTTTGGCGCTGTGTCGTGCCGCGTCCCTGTTGGGTCTCTTATTAGTCAGACCGGCAATATGAGGAACCTAACGATGCATGCACTTTTTGAGCATGTGTTGCGTACTTTCTTGGTCATTTCACAATAAATCACCACCAGAACCACCGGATATTGCTGAGCTGTGTGCCAGACAAATAAAAAACAAATTCACCGATAGTGTTTTTTCTGTGTGTGTCGTGGATATGGACGGGGTCAATAGGTGCAGTCGCTACCAAATACGCTGGCTCTTCGTCAACGGATGAAGCACAACCTCTTACAGCGGACCCTGCAAGGTCCTGCAGGGGGTGCCCCGCGATCAAGTAGCTGGGCTATCACGGAGACCGTCACTGTGAATAGGCACGCGTTGCTCGAACGTGAGTCCAAAGCACCTTCATTTCTTTTGTATAAGGGAGGACATCGTGTGCTGACCTATAGTACATGCACTATAAGATGAACCTAAATACCCAAAATTTGAAAAACCAATCACAACACAAAGTAACAGGAATTCAAAACAACCAGGTAAACCGGACGGGAGTTTTACGGGTCAACCCGAGAGCAATAACACATTGTGTATAATAAATTGGACGAAATTCGTGGATAGCTGGGGTTCTTTTTACCACAACTCAGCCAAAGGTGAAATGAGACGGAAACGCGTTTCCGCGATAGAAGGCAACAGACCGAGGTGTTGTGATATTGATTGGGGCACCATCGAAATATGAAATATCAATGATGTTGCCTCATGTTAGATTCGAAACGAATTGTCGTCCTGTCGCCAATACAGCAAACGTTGTATACGAACGAGTGGTACTCACTGTATAGATAGCATATGGCCAATCGATTTCCCAAGCGGCCCATGAAAGATGTTCCTTTGTGCTGATGAATTCGTCGCCAATCATTTGTGACCGACGGTAAATATGGGTCTGTATCGAGAAGAGGCTGGAAGAACGGGGGAATGATGAGAAGTCGAATCTGTGTGTCCACTTGTGTGGTCTACCTCAAGAAGATGACTTGATGTAAGCGAAAAAATGTCCAACGCAGACAGAAGGTTACCATGTACCAGACCCATCCCGGTTTCAAGTACACAAAAGTTAAAGCATTTACCAATCCATCCAGACAAAATTGGCCTCCAGTACAATTGTTTTTAATTTCTAATTCGCAGCACTTTCTTTCTCATCCCCGCGTCATTGTGGGCCAACAAGAATCGGTTTGTAAGGACAAGAAACTAGGGTCTTCCAAATTAGAACGAGCGCCGCTACCCTGCGGCTAGACTTTTGAGCGAAAGGCTTTGGTTGGCTACCCTTATCGTCTTTCTGTCTTTGTGTGGGCGTCTTGACAGGATCCCAGCCCGTATACAACCGTTTACGACAGCGAACCATCGGTGTTGAACACTGGTGTCATGCTGTCGATGATGATGGTCTGTTTTTGGAATTTGCGACCCAATGACATATCTGCGCAGTTCAAATACATACCTAAGTTTGAAAAACCTACTCTCAATAGCTATACTACGCTGAGAACTACCTATGGGTGCACCTGAAATATCCAGTTGCAGTGAAATTGACACACGTATGTAGAAAAACTTTGAGAAACACGGAAATGTCTTTTCTGCACAGGCGGAATTTCTCGTGTGAACAACGGGCTGGCGAGATCCGCGTTTCCCGCCTGAATAATTAAATTTAACTGATATCCGCGGTTTTTAATGACACTTGTGACTTTAGGATGAAACTTCTTGATTCGTCTTCCAACTGTGCAGTAGTATACTCACAGATCTGCGACTCTTATAAACAAGAGTTTGATAGGCGATGATTGCCACTCCTATATCTAGTTACCTATCTGTAAACTGATGTTGCTTAAACGGGTTAAACATAATGCGGACGGTGGAATAAGGAGTTTGTTCATCTCTAGAGGCGTAACACACTGTCCCCAAGGTGACTGAAATCTCTTCGACGGTCCATGACCAATTCCACCTTCCTGAAGCTCATCAGCTAGGTGCAGTTATCGAGTTTTACTCAACTCTTTGTTCTACCTGAACTCAAATTGCGCGAATTCTGGCTTCTGTCAATTCAGTTTTGGCTGAATCCACTGCTTATGATGTTCTTGTTCAACTGGGTATGTGCATCGGGACACCCAATTTTTCAGTTAGTACGATATACTAGTAACGCAGTACTATGCATAGACGTAGCGCAGCACTGTTTAATATTATGTAGGAAAACGTGATTTGTTGAGCGACTCACAGCTATCGATGTTTCGTTTGTTGTTTCGCCGGTCTTGCACGTTCCGATAGGCAGTGATTCGAAACCGAGTTGAAATGTCGCACGGGCGAATTTCAACCCAGTCGAAGAAAACTCGCTAGTATCGTGTGGTACCAGGACGGCAAAGCCTATGGCGTCAGACGTTTGAGGAGACTGGAGAATGGGCACTTATGGCGGTTGTGCTGTGAGTAGCAGACAAGCAAATTTGTTTCGTCAACGTGCATGTTCTCCGGCTCCTGAGGGGTGTTTTCTTCAAGGTAGAGAATCAAAGGAAAATTACCCACCGCAAAATAAGTCTGATTGTTCTGATTCCTTCCTATGGGAACAGTTCATGGCTCCTTTTCGTTTGAATGC